ATAGGAGCCATCCTTGCCATAAAATGGTTCACACAAGCACCCTGTTTTTCCATTGAACACAACCACCATGGCACTGACGATATCAGCTATCCTGTGGCATGTTTGGGACAGAGTGATTCGGTCTCTATGACTGGTGGTAGTAAAGATTTCCTCAGCGACCGCAGGCACGTTCAGCAGAAGGATCTCAAGTTTTGCCTGAGGGCGTTCAACCGGAATGCCCAGAGGAGCAACCTAGGCCGAACGGCGGGCAAAGGACGGGCAGCTTCCTGTTCCACTTTGCTCTGGACAGTCTGTCTGTCCCTCTGATTTGAACGCGTGGATGGACCACCATTAAGCCAGCTGTCTACCTGTATGGGCGCCCAGAAAGTTGCCGAAATGGTATTTTGGCCAAGGAAGCTGCGAGCTCTGAGATAGCTGTTTCGACATTTCTCAATGAAATCTGAGCTCATGGCGGTTTAGTTCTTTGCTCTTGAGCTCTTTGCTGTTCAGCGATGTTGTCTTCTCGCACTTCAAGCTCCAAGTGTTTTGGGTTCTCAACGGGGACAGTAGAACGGAGGTACTTGTTGGCGTTTTAAGGGCCACTGCCGAAGCATGGTCGCGGTACTCACAGATCATTAGATGTGAGCACATACTTCTTGTATGGTGTTCCCTCTTATCAGTTGTGATGAGGATAGTTGTGTGAGCGCCCCGTCGTAGGGTTCTTTCCGCGTATTTCCATTGCCAATTCAAGCTGATGGTATTTCTGTGGGAATGCCTTCTTTAGCTGGGAATCAGCGTCGGCTTCTAACCGGTTGACGATTTCCCTATGTTCCCGGGTGAACTGCCCATAAAGGGCAGGACGATGGGTGGTCTCATAGAAATCCTGCCTGATTGCGATGCCACATTCTGGTTAGTATGACGTGGCGATGTAGGGATGAGCACACAACCTTCCTAGGACATTGGACATTGGTGTTAGCAAGATAACTAGACCACCACCTGATAGGAAAGAAGTACTCACAATTGGCCGGGACCACAGAGCCTTCAGCCTGAAGCATGGTCAAGGAAGCCTCGCAAACGCGCTGAATGTCTGCAAGGAAACTGGCGGTCTGGGAGTGCTCCTTGGCGGAGAAACAAGGCCATCATGGAAGGTCCCCAGAGAGATCAGATCCAGGGCAGCAAGATGAGTCATGTTCGAATTATGAGGAAGACGTACTTGTTGACGCTCTGTCAGCCCGGGAACAGCTGCTGTATGAGATCGTCCGTTGTCTGAGCCAAGTGATCAACAACACGGAGATAAGTTGCTGTATCAGCAGACCCCATTCTTGTGTCAGATCGGGTTGGGGCCACCGCATGAAAGAGCAACTGATGCACTGGTATCCTGGCTTCAGACAAGCCTCTTCCCACTTCTTGTCGAAGCCGAATATCTCCAAGAAGCGCGGACATCATGCAAGAGTCCGGCCTCTTTCGTGGGTTTGTGTAAGGCGCAGACTATTCAGTCTTAGCACTATCGTATAGTAGAATAGCAGGAGACTGACCTGTGTTTGTGCACACTTTGAGATGCCTGAGCTGGCAACCTGTAACAGGTTTTGTTGCAGTCAAACTCCACCTCCCTCATCAACATGTGATTCTTTCAAAATCGTTCATCGAGATCTGTAAGGCGGAAGTGGTGTCCGTATGCGGGCCCCAGTTCAACCTCGCATTCTTAATCCACCGGCTCGACCATGTAAGAACAGTGGTTTCAGAGCTCGCCATGGCTTTCCTACGCCCCGAGCAGCCCCGGCATGTCTGCCAAGGACCAGAACTCAACGTCTCTGAACGAGGATTTCCTTAGTTGGAATTTTGCGATGTACTGGTGCGGTCAGTCGGACGTAGATATCCTTGAATATGTTGCCGAGGCCGCAACGACGCATGCTTTATCGAATCAGCAGGTTGCTTGCAGACTGGAAGGAAATGTCAACCGAAATGCTCACCTTCCCGGCATTGCCTCTGCCTTTCTCTTCCTTTCCAGGTTCCTCGGACTGACCGGTATAAGATAGTGGAAGAGACCGGCAATTCAAATTGCGGTAGCAGTAATCAGCAAGTAAGAACAGGAAAATCAGCATGATGTGGCAGAACTGGAATCATAAGCAAGTAGGTTGTCGAAGCAAATGAAGGAAGGGAGTGGAAATGGAGAGATGAAACGTGATTGACAAAGTGGGTGCAGACATGTAATAGTGAATGAGATACTTGGAAAATAAATGAATACAGTGAATAGACCCCCCGGTGGCAAGTGAATTGGCCAAGGTACACAGTTCGAAGGACAATATGATAAGGACGAAAGAAGTATATAGTTTCTGGTTGATCTATGCTTGAGGAGAGATTTAGTAGATATTTATGTCGTCAGAAGTCTAGCAAGGTAGAAAACTTGTTGCAAAGAAAGTATGCAGGGAGCAGTCTATGCAATGCTGCCTCCTGCGACTTCCCTTACCCAAACGAGAAGACATGAAGCTATCCGGAACATGGCCTCTTGCAACAGGCAGCTTATACTACTAGAGTAACTGCTACCCACAAACAATTACCATTCTCAAGAAAAATCTGAATGAAGCTATCCTGAGTGGTCCTGTCTCAGTCAGTAGCCGTTCATCACACATATCTCCTCACCCTGGTATACAGCAGCTGTCCACTTGCACTCGGAGTGCCTCTAGAATAGCCAAATAAACATGTCATGTATGTTATCAATGTTTGGATTGATCTTTCATTTCTGTTATACGAGATCAATGTGATTGGGTGAGGATGCGCCTTTGGACAACATTTGATCCACCGATACCAAATACAACTTCCTCTGCAACGAGGACGTCTTCAACTTCAGTCTCTCTTTCCAAGACAGTTGATTGAAGGTCAAACAAGATGCAGCACTCAAGTGGCGCAGAGACCTACGAAATGCGTCCAATGCGCCATGACCAACCCACCAATCAGTTGGTGGTGCAGGACGGAAATATGCAAACGGAGGGCAGAGTCAGCTGGGCCTATCCAGAAGGAGGCTGGGAAGCCTGGACCTGTCTTCTGGGCTCATTTCTGATGATGTTTCCATCGTTTGGCTTTCAAACTGCAGGTATCCATCCTCATATTCATCTTAGCGGACCACGGCTACTGACATACGATAGTCGGATCGGTCCAGGACATCAGCACCCACCAGCTGGCAACGTACAGCGTCCGTGACGTGGGCTGGATTACCGCTATTCTTGTCTTCCTGACTCTTTTCCTTGGAGTTCAGGTTGGGCCTCTGTTTGATCGATACGGTCCGCGGGTTCTGTTGGTGGGTGGATCCCTCGCTAACGTTGCCTCCTACCTTCTGCTGGCACAATGTAGAGTATACTGGCACTTTGTACTCTGCCTCAGCGTATTAGGTGGCATCTCATCTGCAGTCCTTACAACCGTCTCCATTGCCGTGCTGAGCCACTGGTTTAATCGTCGCCGGGCGCTCGCCTCGGGACTCTGCATGGGCGGTTCCTCCACCGGAGGGGCAATCATCCCTCTGCTGCTGCGTAAACTCTTCCCGCAGCTGGGATGGACATGGGCTATCCGGACGATCGCATTCATGGCTGTTGGCTGCTACACCGCTGGCATCGTCCTGGTCAAAGGACGACTTTCCACTGGCCACCGCAGTCGTGCAACCGTTGATTTTGGAGCTTTCAGATCTCCCCGGCTATGCTTCCTCGCCGTGGCGGTCTTTTCGTTTGAGTTTATCATCTTTGGCTGCGCAGCGCTGTTACCTACTTACGTCCGTTATGATGGTTTCCCTCTCGACGCGCAATTCTGCTCCCTCACCCTGCTCAACAGCATGAGCTTTTTGGGACGTGTCCTTCCCGGCTTAGCGGCGGATCAACTCGGCCGGTTCAACATTCCTCTGGCGCTCGTCGTCATGACACTGTTGGTGATGAGTACCGTGTGGCTCCCGTTTGGCTCTCGCGGTCAAGCTACATTGTATGCCGTCGTCGCTGTTTTTGGCTTTGGGTCTGGGGGATGGCTGTCGCTGGCGCCTGTATGTGCGGGCCAACTGTGTCGGACCGAGGAATATGGGAGATTCTACAGGACCATCTACAGCGTCGCTGCGTTTGGAGTGTTGTTGACTGTTCCCATTGGAGGAGAGCTGCTGCAGTCGACTACGCCGCAGGTGCTGATCGGTTTTTACTCGGCAGTTCTCATGGTCGGACTGGTGAGTGTAGTCATGCTCGATGGGCCCTGTTGGATTGGAGGTGGAAGTGGAGGGTCAATCTGTAGTGATGCATGACCTGTCGTATTGACTGCATGACATGAAGATCAATCTACTGCTCGGAATTTATCTGTAGTCCTTGAACTCGGATACCGTCGCTTCCACTTGATCTATCAGCAGTTGTCGGCCAAGGGGACAAGAGTGATGAGACGATTTAAACAAGTATTGCAATCCATATTGTAGTTTTCTGCCGTCGCTAATTGTCACATTCATGAAAAGGATATACACTTTGTATCTGCCTGATGACATCTCGGATGTTGGATTCCATTATATCGCGTTCATCTCGTTATATATACCCGCTGTTAGCCATTCATAATTCTCCATTCCAACACAAAATGGACAAAAAAGAGCTCTAGATACAGCAACATGCAGGTACTTTGGTAGACTAGAGCATGAAGCATTAATAGAAGTCATCAATAAGAGGTAATGGCATATCTGTCATGTGTATGTCATATGATGATATGAATGTATTGATGAAAAGACGATGTCGGTTTAATGATGACTGGCGGCCTTCCGAAACAGGATAATTTAGCGAGTCATAACATCATTCAAGTATATCAAGTCGCTACATCAGAACGCTATTTGATAAAGTAGACAAGGTTGTAAATCCAGTGGCTGAGCCATTCTAGGCTCCAACATGACTCATTGGTGGACAAGGCTCGTCCGCTTGCTGCCTACAAGCACTACTGCACTAGTACACCTAGTATATATTAAGCCATCCCGACTGATCAATATCCTCTCTCACCATCAACAACAGATGAGAACCAAAATGACATACACATATCTCTGCGGATGTAGCTACTACACCCTCCCTCAAGCAAAGCCGGTCTACCTACCCCGTATCGGCATCAAAGCCCACGCAACTATCCTCTCGTCCGTTTCCAGAACGGTCCTTACCCAGACATACACAAACCCATCCAAGAACCTCCTCGAAGAAGTCTCATATACCTTCCCGCTATACGATGGCGTCAGCATAGTAAACTTCAACTGCCAGGTCGGCGACCGCACTCTGCACAGCCGCGTGAAACCACGCAAGCAAGCCAAGGCCGAATACGACGATGCCGTCTCAAAGGGCGAGTCCGCGGCGCTGATGGCCCATTCGCTGAGTGCCTCGGACGTATTCTCCATTAGACTTGGAAACGTCAGGGCTGGAGAGAAGGTTGTAGTAGAGATTACCCTTGTCGGGGAGCTGAAGCAGGATGCGCAGACTGATGCGGTGCGGTATACGCTGCCTAATTCTATTGCGCCGCGGTACGGGTATCAGGCGGAGGATATGACCATGCCGCCGGAGGCAAATGTGGAGGGTATTTCTATTACTGTGGACGTGCAGATGGAGAGTACGGCTGTTATCCGGAAGATCCAGTCGACGAGTCATTCGCTGAGTGTGGCGCTGGGACGGGTGTCGGTGTCTAGCGAGTCTGACAAGGCGTTCAATCCGGCGCAGGCGTCTGCAAGTGTCAATCTAAAGGAAGATCGGACCTCGCTGTCGCGCGACTTTGTCCTCCTTGTCAAGGCAGATGGACTCGACACGCCCCGTGCGATGCTGGAGACGCACCCGACTCTCCCTAACCAACGGGCGATCATGACGACTCTTGTACCGAAATTCGGGCTTGAGCCCATCAAACCAGAGATTATCTTTGTGATCGACCGCAGTGGAAGCATGGTGGAGAAAATCAACACGCTCAAGTCGGCCCTCAGGGTCTTTCTCAAGAGCCTCCCAGTAGGAGTGTGCTTCAATATCTGCTCGTTCGGCAGCTCGTACTCCTTTCTGTGGAAGCAGAGTCTTTTCTACAATGCCGACAGCCTCCAGGAAGCTCTGAGCTTTGTCGACGGCGTCCGTGCGGATATGGGCGGAACGGAGATGCAGGAGGCCGTTGAGGCTACGGTCCACAGTCGGATGAGGGACAAGGAATTGGAGGTCTTGATATTGACGGATGGGCAAATCTGGAACCAAGAAGCACTCTTCAAATTCATCCGTGAGACGGCCGCTGACAGTAGTGCACGGTTCTTCTCACTAGGAATCGGTGATGGGGCGTCGCATTCGCTCGTCGAGGGGATTGCGCGGGCTGGGAACGGCTTCTCGCAGTTGGTGGTGAACTACGAAGAGCTGGACAGGAAGGTGGTGCGCATGCTCAAGGGAGCGCTGACGCCACATATTTCCGATTACAAACTGGATGTCGAGTACGATGCCGATGGCGAGGATTTTGAGGTCGTTCTGCCGGAGCGGCTGAAGACCATGGCTGTCGATGAGACAGAAACAAAGCAACAGCCGATTTCCCTCTTTGATGCAGACTACAAGGAGGACGAGCAGAAGACGGACGAAGAACCCCTGCCGGTGCTCACACCCCCCCAAACCATCCAAGCACCATACAAAATCCCACCTCTCTACCCTTTCATCCGGACAACAGCATACCTCCTGGGTTCAGAAACCATGCACACCCCCAAAGCCCTCATTTTCCGCGCCACTTCAAAGCAAGGTCCGCTCGTCCTGCGCATTCCCATCGACGAAATCGGCACAGGGGAGACAATCCACCAACTTGCCGTCCGAAAAGTCATGATCGAGCTCGAGGAAGGGCACGGTTGGCTTGCCCGCGCAACCAGCAACGGAAACCCATTCAAGAATCTCCATCCTGCCTCGAAAGAACGCATCATCGCCCGTGAATGCGAGAAACTCGGCACACAGTTCCAAGTAACCGGCAAGCACTCCTCCTTCGTCGCCCTAGAGAAAGACAGCACTTCGGATCAGGAGAAAGAGAAGGACATCGCCAACCTGCCTGTCCCCGAAGCTGCTGGAGAAGAAAATACCGTCCATCAGGTTTTCGGGGCACCCGGTCCTGTTCGCGCCAGAAACAGGAGGCTAGCCACAAAAGCGCATAGGAAGATAGTGCCACCGCCACCACCGCCAGCGACCCGTTTCAGTGCACGTTTACGAGCAAGGGAAACCCCAGGGTCGAACTCAAGTTCGCTGGCCAGCTTCGCTTTATTCGGGGCGCCTGCAGTTGCAAGATCCTTGGATACGAGCGGATCACCACCGCCTCCGCCCCCGGCTCCAAGGAGGGGATTCGGATTTGATGCCCTGATGGTCTGTTCTCCCGCCCACGTCTCGGAGGGGGATATGATGGAGATGGAAAGCGTAGACTCCGATCGCTCTGTCGGGTATACCCCTGCGTCTCCTACCGTTGCCAGTGAGACTGCCGGAGGGGCAAGTACAGTTCACAGGATTATCGCCTTGCAGTCGTTTGAGGGCTACTGGATCTGGTCAACGGAGCTGATGGAGGTCCTAGGGCTAGATGAGCGGGATATTCGAGCTCGATTGCTGAAGCTATTCGAGAAGGATGGCAGAGGGTCTAATCTGACGGTCATTGCGACCATGCTGGTAATGACGTACCTGTCCACCAAATGTGCGGATGATCGCTCGGTCTGGGAATTGGTGTACGACAAGGCTGAGGGGTGGAAGAGACAGAAACTGGTGGAGATGGGCGAGGAAGCAGATGTTCTCAAAGCGATGGAGAAGGACATCATTGCCTTGGTATGAGATTATGACTGTGATTGCTCGGGCGTTAGGATGGCTTGATGATGTACCTTTAGTCTGGTTGTAGCTTAATGCTCTTGTGATGTATCAGATGCGTATACCGTAATAGCTAGGGTTTCAATCCTCGCGGTTATGAGGTGACCGACGCTTTTGGCAACACGGATTTTCGTGAATACGGCTCTCTTTTAGATTTAGTTATAATACAGCTCCTCTATAGCCATATCTCATTTACTATTACTTTTCTTTCTTATCTAAGTGTCTTAATTGGCTTGGCCTACAGGACACTCTTTGAACTACAATCCCTCGCAGTGATACCTCCCGCTGCTGCAATCATCGCTATAGATAGATGATGAGATGATATCCAGCTAGCCTACGCTGTAATGCAAGGAGTAAAGGGAGAGCATACTGTATCTCTTAGTGGCCAGGTCATGAAAGTAATATCTGCTTTGAGTTCTCCTTTCTTACAGGAATGTGTTTGCTGTCTCTGTTCCATATTCACTGTCTTCGCAATTCACTTTCTATAAAGAGGCATTACCTTGTAGCATTCACTGATTTCATTCACTCTCATCTAGTTAACCAAAGGCACTGACTCTACATAAGTCTGTAGCCCCCCCTTCAGATATCTTCTTCTCCTACTCTCTTCATCTGCTTTCCCTCAATCTGGTATACAGAAGCTGTTTGATATATCCATACGTCCACACAAAATCGATTCCATTCCTTACTTTGATTAAAGATTATTCCAGTAAGACGATCACCTCTACATGAACATTCTCGGATATGGTACTGACTTCTGTGGTTCATCAGACGAATACTTATAGCACATGGCCTAGCTATGCTGCAGAATCTGGATGTCTGCTTCCGCTAGTAACCGGTGGAATTAGGAATTTGATTGAAGCACACGGGGCTTCATATACACTCGCCATTTTCATGGAGATGCAAGACACCACCTCCTCATTTACAGTCTACGTGCCCTCGGCCAAGACGGCACCGTGAATTTCCCTGGGAGACGTTCAAATACCTCCCACAAGATGGGAGAGTTAACCTGCTTGAAGACATTATTCAGGCTGGAGCAAAATGTACCTTGCACAACTTTCCCAGAGCACTGTTACAGGCCTTCTGGAACTGACGAAGGATGCTGGTACGGTTGATGGACCAGAAGAGGGAACGGCCGTCACCTAGTCCAACACAATTCTTGTGGTCTGCCTGACTGTCCACTATTCAATTGATAATTGAATCCATAGAGATGGATTCTGTCAATAATCAGACTCACCGCACGGCAAAAGACAGCTCCACGAGGCGACTCTGGCATCGGAGTCTGAGGACAAGGAGAACCGCGTCCAGATCCCGGGAATTAAATCGGCCGTCACTGTCAGTGGGAGGTTTACCAGTTTGTTTCCGTCAGTCAGACGTCCGCCGCAGAATGAGCCAGTTCTGTTACTGACTACACTGATTGCCTGGAAATCCCCGCTTGAAGGCCGTCGCTGTGGTTGACGACTTGAATGATTGACTAAATCCTGCCTCGTGTCTTTGATTATCGCTGTCGTATCAGTCAGTGGCCTTCTAGATCGTCGTTCTTCTGACGTTTCATTCGTCTTACTTCGTACTTCCACGAACAAAATATACGAGATCGCCGACATCCGCGGAGGCACAAACACGTCCAATTCGACCCTGAGTATGCAACAGAAAAACAGCGATTGCTATGCGCACTCAGCATGTACGACCAGATCTACCCCCTCTGGCAGGAAACCATCGAACAGTATACAGCAGACCGTACCGTCAGTTTGAGAAGGCAGACGCTGCATTAGAGGGTTTCCACGACATATTAAAGGCATGTACAACGTCAAAAGCGCCGGGCGCAGGTAATTTCCGTAGACCAAATATTCACTGAATCTCTTGCTAATAGTGTATGGCTTTTCCAGAGACCCAGCAAATGCTCTTGTTCCAGCCGGTCTCCCCAAAAGAGTTCACCGTTTTGTTGGATCATATCAGAAACCACCGGAGCATCCTGAAGCTCGATTATAACAACCGAGCGAGCTGCTGGTGATCAAAGTGATGCCTGGGTGGGACCACGAGTACGCAACGGCCTTCTCCAGCAACCGATCAATACGCAGCTCGCAACGATGGGGCAAGGCACCTGGAAAAGAAATGGAAAAGGGACAGGATGGAAAGCCAGACAAGTGAGTGATCAACTCTACTAAGGAAGGTGTTAATTGATTGGCGCTAACTGACAAAATGGAGGTCCGCAAGTCCTGGTCCTAATGACAAACCCGATGAGACCGTTGAGCGACCAGAAGAGGTTATGGTTATCAATGATTCCAGTGATGATAGTGGCAGTCAAGACAATGGAACAGACATTGGTGCTGGCCGCTGGGACCCGTGAGTCATCAATACTGGTTTCTCCTACGCCTAGAGGTCGTGTCTTAAGTGGCAGTTTGATACTCTAACTAACTCATGACTAGCTGGAAAACGGCCGGAGTCAACGCAGGTGTCACAGAGCCCACTAATAATGATAGCGCGAATAATATGGCTGATGATAATTGCTGAAATTGCAGCCTCAATAGAGGAGTCAACTGATGAGTAAGTAGTCACGTACTACATTACGCATCTTGTACCACTGGAGCAGTTAATCAGAGACTAATGCTGTGATGACCAGAATACAACGCTCCCAGACCTTGTTTACTGTCGACTGGCTTGATTAAAAGACCTGGGCGGACTGCCATAGCTCAAAGGCAACTTCAGAGAACGGCCTGATCATACAATCAGGATACCTAGCCTGTGCTGTCCACTAAAGCCTCACCAGGCTTTCGTGGTATACTAGATGCTGACTACCGAGAGAGCCCTGAATGGAGGATATCTCGCAGACGGTATGGGCTGTAAGCAGGCCTGCCACTATCCAGGCATCATTGACATACAACATAATACTAACCTGGGCTTTCTTATCTGACATAGACTACTACCGCCATTGCACTTTGTGATGTCAGCCACTGGGTGCATGTAGCCACGCAGGCGGTGGAGAAGTGACGGGTTGCTAATGACGGCAAACATCTCTCACCTAAAAGCCAAGGGCCTGATGATGAGTGCACAAGCGCTGCAGGCTTCCCATCTGCTGCCCATGCGTGCGGGCGGGCCCTACTGCCCAATACACGGCTGACATAAGAATATGAACTCTGTTGCTTGGGCAGCAGGTGATGCTTCATAAGTCATGGATGCAAGGTATCCCTGCGCCGTCTAGGTACGCTGAAGCTTCCTCTGTGGTAAAATTGCAATGCCGGTCAACATATGACTTTCAGGAGGAACAGCGGTCTCTGACATATGTCCTATGATTCTGGATGCTCCAGGATGGACATGCCTGAGTCTGACCTGCGCAGAATGATGGCTCAGGCCCAGATTACCTATTGCCACCTGCGACAGGCTTCGTAGCTGGTGGCCAGGGAAGTCTCTTATGGCGGAGCTCGAAGTGGGAGTGCTCAGTGGGAACGCAGACAAGGTGTTGATTGATTGGCATCCACTTCGCTGCAATGTTTATCCTGCTTATGCGTGTTCGCATTTTCGGGGCCTGTTGGAGGCGAGGTGCTTTGTTTGCAGTCATCCTCAGGGCCGCCTATAGGTTGCGTATTCGAAGGAGCAGCCCACACTGGTCTAACTATGGTGAGATACTTCCTTCGACTCAACCAAATCGCAAGATTGAAGAAGGACGTGTTCAGCTTAAAGAAAGACATGTTCAGGTTCAGATCCGGCAAAAAGAGGTTTCAAATTCAGGCCAGGAACAGACTGATGACTGAGACTAGTTATGAACTAGTTACCACATTGTTCTTATTTAACGTTCCGACCTCTCTTGGCAGTGGCCGAACTTTTCCGAATAGTCGGCTGACCTGTAGTCACAAAGTAAATGTAGGACCACCCTATATATGTAGTTAGTCTTCATTTTCCCCTGTTATATTCCATAGTCTTGGGAAGGTTAAGAAGATGGTTGCAGTGTAATTTTGATCCCATGTATGCCAATGCTAGTACATACCAAAGACTGCTAATGTTATTCAAAACTCTCATTGAAACATGTCAGTATCCCATTATCATTTGCGATCCAATCATCTGTTCACTATTGTCAATAGCCATACTAGTACTGGTGATTAATATAGAGACTAACTTGTATTAATCCAAGTAGTGCTCTTGCCTCCTGCATTATTTTTACAAACAGCAAGGAGCCACCTGTCATACAGACCCACATCTGCACAGTCCTTAAAACCACCACTATAGATATGTGTTAGCAAGAGAGATTAAGTTAAGAAATATAATAACAGAAGTAGGTAACTGGGTAAAGAGGGAGTAAAGAGGTATAGAGATATAATTATAGATAGTAAAGGAGAGACCTTACGTAAGCTTGCCAATGAGTTTACCATCAGCATTGGCAAAACATATACCCAGACGGAGTGGTGGTGTGAGTCTGTGGTTGTTATCAACTCTTTCGCAAGTAGCAGTAATTGTCATGTCCCGAGATCTATCAGAAATTGAATTTGAGTGATGAATTGTTATGTTGTTGCAAGTGTTGAAGTAGCCAGAGTCTGCAATAACATCAAGAGTGAAGTAGCTCAAAGCTGAAAAAGTAAGGACTAGTAAATTAATAAAGTGCATAGTGTAGGTTAAAAGAAACCAAAAAGTCTTGTTATTAGTTAGTTAATACAGATGAAGTAGTTGAATATTATTTTAAAGGGGGGAATGTAGTGTCCTTTATAGAATTGAAGTTGAAACTAATTTAAAAAAAAAAAGCCAAGAATGTAAAACTTGTTATATATACTCTGTATAACTAGCATTATGATAACTTACCAGAGCAGAGCAAATGCCAAGAGTATAAGGTTTCAGGTATATATATAATTAGCTCATAAAATTTAAAAATTAAATTACTGCATCCTTCCTTATGTTACTAGGGGCATATAGTTTAGTAAGATCTCACCCCTTACTCTCTATTACTACTGTGTTGCTGTCTACTCTTATATTTCTTTAACTTTCCAAAGGATTAAGTATGAGTGAAACACAACCTATATCTGTGACTTGGGCTCACCCACACCACTCTCGCGGTGTGGGTGAGCCACACTGGAATCGTCAACCACAGCGGAATCGTCAATAGCATCACCATATAAAGGTACATATAGGTTATTTAATCTAGGTATGTACACATTTAGTTTCTAAAGTAGATAACTATTTAGATATATAAATGTCTATCTCTTATTATAATTTTTATTATTAGAAAGAAAAAATTATAAGTATTAAGTTAAAATAACCTATCTTTTCTTTTTCCCTAAGAAAGAGTTTGTATGGGAAATCTTATATATTCTAATATCTCTAAATTTTTTTAGTTAAAACTCTTAGAAGACTTTTAATTATAAGATGTTTCCTCTTAGACTTTTAATATTACTATCTAAAATATGGTCGCCCCTAGTAAATACCCTAGATATTAGACATAGGGCGTATGTACCTTTTATATGATGATGCTATATAAAAGGTACATGACGATTCCGCTGTGGTTGACGATTCCGGTGTGGGTGAGCCTAAGTCATAGATAAGAGCTAACATAATCCACAGCTGAGCCATCCACACGGCCCGTCCTGCTGCAGATTTGAAGCCTTTCGACCCCCAACATCATTAAATTAGACAGGATACCTACCCTGATCTCCCCTTAATATTATATATATAATAAGCATAAATTATATCGGGGATCGCGCGCAGCGAGATCACTCAGGTGCAGTTCCTGGCCTGCGAATTGTTGCCAACCATTGGACGAAGCTGGGCGATACCAAGGCGATTGAAGATATACGGCCTCGACAAGTCCCCCTGCCCCTTGAAGGAGAAACTGACCCGCACTGTAAAAGGATTGCACGACCGCAACACCAGTTTTCAGAATGTCCGCCCTCTCTGACTTTTCTCTTTCACCTGTGTCTGATATCACCGAGCTTTCGCGAACGCCCTCTCAGCTTTGAGGTAAGTTTGTGGCCCAATTGGACGCTATCCCATCCTGATCCTTCGAACGAAAGCAAAGGGAGCCCCGCCCCTGTTTTCGCCAAAGGAACACCGGTAAGTCCAAATTATACGGCCTCAAACAGCTAAGGGCTTGGCTGGACAAGGAAAACATCATTGACCACACTCAAAAGTCATCGCCATGGGACAATGGTACCGTACACCCAAGCCATCCAGACGCCATCACATATGCTCATAATTTCCGATACGGACCAGCCAAAGACCAAGTCGAGGAGAGAATGAAAAGGATTCTGATCAGAGATAGACTCGAACCACCACAGAATCTTGAATAGAGAAAGCGGATAATCAGAAGGGGTAAAGGCTCACAATTTAGCAGTGAATATCTTGTCAAGCTTGGTTATGGGGACGAATATAACCCGTGGACGACCGCGGAACAGCTATGCGGCGAGAAACAGTCGACGAATGCGATGCTCAAATAGAACACTGTCGTCGATACTGAATAGAGCCAATTAGTATAACATCGCTGCGCATGCAAACTCCGGTTAAACACGCGATGAAACACTACATCGCCTGACGAAGATTATACTTCCGGTACTATGACTTTAAATCCTGCCAAGCACCAAGGATGTGCGGAATATTACCAAGAAGGGGTTGTGTGCCTTCAAATCCGCGACAAAACAGGAGATCGGAGGACTCCAGCGCGGCACTCGAACTCTCTCCATTTGCCGTCAATCATGTATTCTCTCCCTTTCTGTCGCAGATTGACATTCCCCTTATCCCAAACGGCATCACTATGGGGAAATCGACCATCTTGGCACCTTCTCCGGACCCTGAGCGCCACCGGGCGTATTCAGGCTGAATCTGTGACGAAGTGTGTCTCGGGATGTCTTAGATGCGGGAGGGGATGAGTCGACAGTAGCATGTCCCCAACCTACTCACCCATATTGGTACTGACCAGGATAAGTGTGAATAGAGCTAAATTATAGGGGCCGTTGTGGAAGGGAAAGCTACAACTCACCCCTTTCCTGTGAACAGGGGCGCTATGACCTGGCCAAGCGACAGGCGGTCTTTTACCCTAAGAACCTAAGAATTAAACTAATAAAATTCTCAGTTGCTAACGAGAACTTTTCATTCAGAACGGATCCTGCAACTTCTCATTCCACCTGAAGAACATACCGCATTCAAGGACTTAGGTTCTTGAGTGAGTGCCTGTGGCCTCCATGTGCTTCTGGATTCTGCGATTGGGATACTTGAAATGACTAGGCAGATTCGACTCTGCGGTTGGCTTGCAAATAGGGCTTCCTAGAATATCGTCTATAACCGCGACACGCGGAGGGTGTATGCGTGCTTTCCCTACCATCTTCACCTCTGATATACTTCTTACACGCAGCGAAGTAGCTAGCCTTGTTTCTATACTGTTGTTGTCTTGACAGCAATTATTGAGCGACACTTGCTACAGGCTCTTGTATTACAAAAGCGCCAGGGATGAATCAATGATCCCATTCGCAACCAGTACAAATATACGCACGATGGTACTCAAGTCGAAAACAATGCATTCGAACTCCTACCTGCACCATTAAACAACGTCACCAGCTTGCAACTTCACCTTAGGAACCATTGAAACAGAAGAACCAAAGGAATAAAGAAATGAAAACCAAGAAATGAAAAGCACTCACATCTCGTCCACCCATTCTCCCTTCTCCGTCCACATCCCAGGCCGATCCATCTACGGAGACAGTCAGCGGCGCTTGCTCTGCTCCCTCCAAGCATTGTAGGGCATGAGGCTCCACCCAGAACTCCTCATCTTATCCTCGATAACCAAGCAGAGCGCCTCGCCGGCCAGCTCATTCTTATCCCAGTCCATACTGAGCTTCTGGATCGTTGTCCGCGCCACCATAACAATCTGGTCCTCGTTCATTCCCCCTGCTCTCAGGGAAACGACGACGTTGCCGCGCTTGACGGCTCCGGCGTTCTTCATGGCCTCGAATGAGGGGTAGATCTTCACATCGCGGTGGTAGATCTTGTGATGCAAAGTCTCAAGGAGGATCGGTTTTAGCTTTTTTGGGGATGTCTTGACGTCGAAGAGGATGTGGACATAGGGGGGCTGGGTAGTCGGCTCGATTGGCTGTGGGGACTGAGTAGATTGGACGGTAGCCATTTTGGTTGTCGGTTGCGGTTGCGTACCTTAACAAGGAACTGTATAAAAGTGGAGGTATGTTTGTATTCGAAGCGATGATGAGAGGCGAAGATTGAGAGAGTTGGTTTGGATGAGAAGAGACTTGGGCAGGATATCGGTCTGAATTTATATACAAGAGTAGGACATCTTCGATGCAGTATCTGGACAGAGGATTGCACTGTCTTGGAAATGTCAAAACAGCCTGCTCTATGTGAGAGACATTGTAGAAAGAATTGGCAGCGCTCTGTTGCAGCGTGTATCAAGTGTTTAATGAGGCTGACGGGCGAATATGTCTTATGGATGAAGTCCTGCAATCTATTGTCATTGTCCAGAGACAAAGTACAAAGAGCATTATATACAAACATGTTTTGTCTCATATCACTCGTCATTCAATTTGGAGGCTGATCTAAAGACCAAGGATACCGGACGCAAAGCAGCGACATGCTTTATGCTCATTAGTTTATGCACAGATTTCAGTATTGTTTGTTCATGTTTATAGTAATTTCAGAGGATATACGTGACACTGCATGAGAAAATGTCTTATCATCTTTGCCGTGGTTGATACATTCTTTGACAAGGGTGTCTCTAATTGAAGATATAGCCTGCAGAAATTCCGTACACTGTAAAAAGCGATCTCGAGTCGATATCTACTCATTCAAAGTTCCAAACACTTGATTGGCACAAACCGGCGAACAAGAGTACGGAAGTGATTCAATTTTATTTGTCTTTCGCTATCATCGAGCTTTTATTCTAGGACTTTGACAAGGATGATGCCTGACCTCCTCAATTTCCAAAAGAACGAACAAGGTAAACTCCATTCCAATCGACCAGAACAAATGAATGTTACGACCACCAACTCCGGTGTTTCCTCCAATCCTGCATCGTCCCCTCAGCCAGATCATCCACATTGATATAATCTACCCCCTCCCGAACCAAAACATGCCAGACATGATTCCGCAGCCCCCGCGGCCACGTCGGGGTACCCCAGTACCTGACCTTGAGGCCGCGGTCATGAGCCGCTTCCACTTGTTCGCGGACGCGAGCAAGCTGGTTCTGCGAGAAGCGGTTCCGAGATAGTGATCCAATCGTCTTGTGAAAGTCGACGGAGGCGTAGTAGCTGTTTGTATAGTTGTAATTATATGCTGCAGCTGCTGCAGTTTCCTCTGGGTTAGATTCCGGAATGATTTGATCTAGTTTATCCAACGGAGCGTCGAAGAATATATCGCGATGGGTGCTATTCGCCACAACAAGATGGAAAGGGGCATCTCCCGAGACGACAACCGTCACAGGACGCTGGACCATCTCCGCTCCATCGAAATGCGTAAGGTAGCCTGCCTCACGCAGGGGAGCGAGCTGCTCAACCAGGTAAGGCCATGTATCGTTGCCGTCGGTTTTGAAATCGATGAGAAGAACGAGTGTCTGGGACGGGTCGTGAGCAAACACACCCCCTAGGTCCTCATTTCTGTCGGGCTGCAGCTGACTGGAGCGGGTGTTATGCTGCTCAAGAAGATCCAGCAGCGGATCAAGGTATAAACTGCGCAGTGTGGCGGCGTGGTGTAATGTGAAGCGGTTGTGGCCGACGAGGAGATCCTCTCCGGAGAGCCAGACGTCCGCCTCGACGCCGATGCAGCCCGCTTTGATGGCTGAGAAGAGCGGGACTGGCCGCCAGTAGTCGTTGTGTGAGTGGCATTGCACGGGAGTGACGCCGTGAGTGGCCCAGTGAGAGAATATAGACGGTTGTCCGCCGGGGAAGACCCAGGCGCCTAGACGGGCGTCGAGGTCATCGGGGAAAAGGTGGACTAGACCGGTCCACACCAGAGAGAGGACCTTTAGAAATCCTCTAGACGGAAGTCAACATCTATGCGAGGATGGTAGTGCATGGACTTACAATATCCAAATCAATGCCCAGAAAGGTCTATTAACGCCTCGGCAGATGATTGCGCGTCGAGATAGTGGACGTGCGTTACACTCGACATGGGAACATTTCCATCGATTTAAAAGCTGCGATAACCACTGGCATCTGTGTCTGCGCTTGTAGCTGCTATGTAGATCATCCGATACGTCAAGTGGTAATAGTTTTCGACCTGCATGGTCACCAGGAATCATCTCCAATGAAGCAAAGGTATCCTGGGATGAGGAGCTTCCCACCTCGCAATCGTCGGCAGTCGATAGAGATCCCATCATACTGAAAATATGTGCCAAGTGTGATCACCTAGGAAAGGTGGGAGCTTTGAGAAATAATCCTCTAGCAGGCGACCGCTCCGGCGATCCATTCCGATTTATCCTTAGAGGTGGCTGACGCGGCCCACAAGCCGAGTTGCCGTATCCAGACATTCGCCGCCAAGAGTCCAAGTCCAACAACCATTGATTGCTTGATCCCATTAAGCTCCGGCAGTTGACGCCATTGGACCAATTACTGGCTGACAGAATGATTCCATTCTGATTCTGCTATTACCAAAGAAATCCAGCTGCCTAATTTAGTAGATAAGCTAGGAATTACGGCTTTCTGGCCCTCAATATCCGACAAGGCCACGCCCCATACATAATCCTCATGCCCCCAAACTCACTCGAGACATCCGTCCAGCCCATCTCCTTGACTATATTCAAATACTCACCGACATACCCCGCCATATCCACCACAACCAAGTATCCCCCCGACATCAACACCCTCGCCGCCTCCCCTATCGCCTTCTTCCTAGTAGCTTTATCCGCATTATGAACTGATAGACTGGCCGTCACCAGCGAAAACACCCCATCGGAAAACGGCAACTCGGCAAAACTCCCCGAATGCAGGACCGTCTGTTCGCAGACCCCCAGCGCAGCGGCGTTCTTGTAAGTTGCCAGTGGCGAGTTTCCGCTCTGATCGCCTTTGACGAATAGATCGATGCCGTAGGCGGGGTGGACGGGTGGGTCTGAATTGTAGAGTTGTTTCTTGATTTGGGCAATCTGCAATAGGACCATCCCTCTGCCGCAGCCGAGGTCGAGGGTTGGTGCTCTGAAAGTTTCCCTGGGGAGGCTGGCGAGGAGGTCATCCCACACTTGGAATTTGCCTTTGATGGTTGCGTAGAGGTAGAGCGGGGATAGGACGTTGGAGGCGATCAGCCCGAGAGGGGAGTCGATGCCGTAGGATGGCTTTGAGGGAATGTCGTGTGCTTCGAGTTCTGTAAATAATCGTGCGATGTGGTTTTCTGGAATTGAGGACGAGTAGAATGACTGCGACATTCTGTCTGTGCAGTTTGCAGGTATATCACAGCAGATGTGAGAAACCTGGGGGAGGGTTATCGTCGAGTGGTGTAAATTTATACTCATTTCTCTTTCCTTTGATGCTTCTTGCATAGAATTTATACCATGTCGATGGTTGGAATGCGGGACAGTCTTGGAGGGGAATTTCCTTTTTGGAAGTATCATAAGGCTTCATCTTGTATTTCAGGCAGCAAGAAAACCAGCCAATATGACAGAACCCCATAAACAGTACCAAATAATTCAGGAAATATTTCCGAGCTTTTATCTATATATCATAGCAGAGATAGAGTTGCTTCAAAATATGTTGACATGTGGTGGCGGTGCTGTGGTTATTGAACGTAAGAAGGTAGGTACAAGGCTGGAACAAAGGATTCAGATGAAACGTGTCCATTAATTCACATCTCCATTTTTAGATTGAGCAAGGTCAAGAGAGATAGCACGTATACTAGAAGAGGATGCTATAGTTATATGCTTCGATTAAAGGTTGCGTGATATATATCTCCGAGTGAGCCGACAGAGACGAAAAACAGGGCAAGAAGGACGAAATCCCCCTATATAGACAGAATGTCAGTGAAACATCAATTCCAATTCCATCTGACACAAGATGAAGACACTAGTTGACCGCATATCTGCATATTTCATGACGTTGCAGGTGGATGAGATGAAGGTGCGGTGGAGGTCTTCCACATCCCCCGAGGACTACCATTTCCGGACATCTAACATCAACGCCAAGAGAATCGTCAGAATACGTGGCGAACTTCGAGAACGTTCATAATGGCAGGAGTCTCCTCAATTCCTCATTTATTACATGTATAAGTGACAATCGTCGGATGAGGCTGGCTGGACTAGCGCACAATGAGGATCCCTTATAGACTATCGGAAATAACCAAGATCATACTGTCTTCCTATTTGTCACGATAAGTGATGCTAAAGTACGTGACTACGCATTCAATCTTAACCCGAGGCAAGGAGGACTCTCATTTGCAGGAGGTTGCTGGTCTGCATAATCTATCACATCGTGCAGGGATCGACAGACAACACTGATGTGCGTCTCTCTGTACAGCTGATTCGGCTATGAATGTGGTTGGTTCTGGGAGTGATCACGCAGCATAAGACCTGCATGAGCTGGAACCATCTCCTCATCTTTGGAGGACCGAATCAAGGGAGTAAAGAAAGGGTAATAAATACGGCAGTGATTCTACCTTGCTGCAGCTTCTTTTTTGTTGCCGCTGCTCCCAGTACGGAGACAGTGGTCAGAGTCAATTGCTGGCATAGAATCTACTATCCCCTGTTCGCAGCATGGACAAAAAGGCAAGAGAAGATCTCAGTCCATCAATGGCGGCCTCAACCTCGGCTATAATTGAAGACTTTGTCGCTTCCTACGAGAAACACCGCGACTTTTACAACCACACCGCAATGGCTGCTAGAAAGACTTGCGAGGCAGCCCTGGAAAGACATCATATACCATGCCTCGTCAGCCATCGAGCAAAAGAAGCGGCGAGTCTACGCAAAAAGCTATATGCCCGACAACTTCTTCGTGGCCACGTCTACTCCAGCAGAGAAGAGATCAAAAGCGACATATCTGACCTGGCTGGCGTGCGCATCGCTCTTTACTATCCTCGGCACGGAGAGGAGGTCAAGCTCATACTCAATGACGAATTTACTGTCGTGGAAAAAAAGACCATCAACCGCATGGGCATTGACGAAGCAATCCACGGCGGCTTCGACCGATGGTTCCCGGGCTACTGCGCAAAGCACTATCGAGTCCACCTCAAGAACGGGACCGTCAATCAGGAAGGCGTCCCCATACACAACACAAAGGTCGAGATCCAGGTCGTCTCCGTGTTGCGACATGTCTGGGCCGAGGTCGAACACGACGTGGTCTACAAGGGAAAGCTCAGGGCGAGCAGAGACGACCACCGCATCCTGGACGGTTTAAGCGGTGCGGTCTTTCTCGGGGAATGTTTCCTGGATCAGCTCTATCAAACCCAGGTAGCGAGGACCACCGATGACAAAGGTTTCAAAACGGTTTACGCGCTCGGATCGTTTCTGTGGAACTGGACCGCCTCCCTCGGGCATTGCCAGGTGGAATATCCTGTGGAGGTAGAGTTTCTGAAAGATCTTCTCGGTATCCTTGGGCTCAACAACCCAAGAACGCTGCGAGATATTCTCGGTCAGATTGACCTGTCCACTCGAGAAGGCAGCGAGTGGTATTCTTTCCGGGCGGCGTTTCACCCCGCTCGGTCCAGTCTTACAATGTTCATAATGGACCGGATCCTTGCCATGCCTGTCGGAGCCAGCAAGCTTGAAAATACTCCAGTAGCCAACTCTGAGGCGGCCGATCACGCGAGACACGAGCTTGGCCTTATCTCTAGTTCCTTGATCTGGCTCGATCGGGTGTATCCGCTCTCGTCTCAATTGTTCGGAGCTCTCTTCGCCAGTGATTCATGGGACCATTATCTGCCTGGAATCCGGTGGCTTGATTCGCGAAAAGCCCAGGATTATTGGAGGGGAAATGCGGTGCTCACCGACGAGGAAGAGCAGAGGATCAACCGTCTCTTCCAGTGCTTTGCGCAAAACAAGGAAAAGCCTATCCGGCTTGCATTTGCCCTTGCTAGGTTAGGTGTTTTGAAGAGATATGCTGCTGACTGGCTGGCGTTGCATCGCGTCATCTCGCCGTTGCTTATTGTCATAAAGGCTCGATATTAGTGACTTCCTTGCCACAGAGATTGGAAGATACGGTGTGACCTACGCTTCCTAATTCGACGCATCACTCCGAGGTTGGAAACATCATGTATGTTAACCTTGATTTACTGCGTAGATGTGGAGCTATGGAAGTATCCCTGGCTACTGTGCATAAGCGAAATTACACTCCTGCAGCTGAGTTAGTCAAACAGGAATATGTTCTTTGTTGATAGAGATGACAAGTCCAATGTGGAGTATACATGCCAATAGTCCTACAATCCTTGGCCATGTCCGCAGCAGCCCACGGTTGCCTAACAAAAATACCTTCTCGGCCAGCATGATAACCATACCTAGCCTAGACACTCCATCTGAGAGATATCAACCCCTCTGTACGACGACCTGCCAGCTCAACGTTTGACAGGCCGTGCCAATACTCCCTTGATTGGTGAAATGGTACCGGGGCAATGGTACGCTAAGGCTTAGCTGCATTGCGGGTTCCGGGCCGTGCGTTAGTGGCCCGCGCTTCGACAGCCGGGCAGCCGGTAGCCAATCGTTCAGTGATGAAGGATTAGACCCACAAGTGTCCGTTCCCTCGGGATTTGATTTATTCAATTGCCAATGGGTTTGAGGGGTGATATGCTGGTGGATTTGCCAGGGTGCTTTGTACTCTGTGGTGATTAGATGATGGGTTGTAGAAATGGTTCCTCAAATCTGAGTAAGGCATTTGTAGTCTGCACAGAGCACTACTCATTTATGGTCTGTTTGTGGTCCATTTGTGGTCCGTTTCGAGGTTCAACGATAATATATGATAAGGTATGTTCAATATACCTCTACTGCCACTCGCAATACTTGTGATGACCCCTGAATAGCACTAACATACAAGTGCAGGATTTGAATAACTGTCTCAGGTCTAGAGCGCCGGTCAACGACCCAACTGAATGCTAACGCCTTCACATCCCTGTCAGTCTTCCATGAGTCACTTGTTCAAACAAAGAAAATGCTACGCCAATTCTTGGCATGCATTTGGAAGGATTGGAAGCACCGACGCGACATGTCGATTCAAAATCTACCACAGTGTCGGGCCCAGCCGAGGCCTCGTCAGAGCCACATCGTTGAACTATTGGCCGTTATCGGTGCTTAGGGAGTCGCATTACAGCGTTGCAGCTCTCATTGGTAGATGCGCTCTCTGAAGAGACTCCTGCCTGAATAGGTTGTAGTAGACACTCATCAGGATTCAGGGTGTGAGATCACCTGAGACCGGTGAGAGTGGTGATTCTTCGCATAAGCCTTTGCTCTCTCGGAGGGGTCATGGTCTAGTTTGGTTACTTGTGTCCATCCGGCCATAGTGATAGATATCAATCACTTCGAGGACCGAACCCAAGTACTTCCCAGGCTCTCCGTCTGTCCACAATCTCTAATTCGATCATTCAATGCCTGGTACGCTTCAGACCGCCTCACTGCCGAAAAGTGTTCCCATTCACTAATCGAAGCAAAGAACTCACCGATCTCCATTGTCTCCGCATAATCGAGACACTCCACGGAAGCGAGGATAGCCTCGATCCCCGAGACAAGGCGCTCGTCATTCAAGTATGCCGGCTCGTCGAAAGCGAAGGATGGTTTGGCTCCGAGCGAGACACGATCGTTGTATCTTTTATGAGATTCCTGCGTAATCCTGCAGTCGGCGAGGAAGTGGTGGTGGCTACCTGGTGCCGGTACAGGCGGACGGAATTCTATGCATGCTTGTGTGAGTGTCGCCGATAGCAGACTCGGGCTTTTAAGAGAATGCTAACGGGATTGACAGTCGATGCAAGGGAGAAGAGGGAGCGCCTAGCAAGAGAGGAAATGAATCAATCATGACAGTTTGGAAACTAGAGAGTGGGAGACAAGCGATGGTCACTACCAGCATTATGACTATGTGATTACTGCCAGAAAACCATATCCGAGAGTGCCTTCGAGAGCAATTCCCCGCGGCACTATGACACACTTATACATCTGAGTGCTGCAAAGCTGAGTATCATATTTGCTATTTCGTACTTTTTTCTCATTATTCGGATCTTATCCGAGGGTTTGACCTTCATCCAAGATGATGGTTTGAGTCATGCCCGACCCGTAGATGCCCGATTCATCCGAGGTTATCCGACTAATACATAACGACCTCACCATCACCCTTCTCCATCTAACAACATTGATACCATTATGGCTTCATCAAGGCAACATAATCAAAATGAGTGTGCAGTTACTGCAGACCCGGAAATGGTCACTTCTCACCCCCCGACCATGGAAGTAGAAGAACCATTGCAAGAAACCCCCACAAATCTGTAGGTCGTCTCGCCGAATCTATAGCCCAGTCTAATTATCCAGGAAATCTACTCTGGTGGTTATAGCCGCCTTCATGAGTATCTTCACCGGCTGCGGCCTCAACTTCGCATTCGGAGTGTATCAAGAACTCTACGAATCCATGTCCCAACTCCCCAGTCGCACCCCATTCACCGGCGTCACTCCAGCCCATATCGACCTCATCGGGACGCTGGCCGTCTCCATGATGTCCCTCGGAGCGCCATTCGCCTCGGGCTGGTGCAAATCCTATTCCCCCCGCAGGATCACTCTAGCCGGGACAATCATCTTCGCCACCGCCAACATCCTCGCATCGTTTTGCCAGCACCTCTGGCAATTCGTCCTCACGCAGGGCGTCCTACTAGGCTGCGGCACATGTCTCACCTACATCACCGCCGTAACCGTCGCCCCAGGCTGGTTCACCACCCACCGCGGCCTCGCCATCGGCATCATCTCCTCCGGCACCGGCGTCGGCGGCGTAGTCTGGGCGCCTGCGCTGCGCGCTCTGAACGCCCAGATAGGGTTCAGGAATACCCTCCGTCTCACAGGCGGTCTCTCGACGGTACTGCTGGGCGCTGCCTCGCTCGTGCTAGACTGGGACCCGCGCACCAAGCGCCAGATCGAAACAGAACGAGCGACATCCTCCGCGTCCCGGCTCCGCGTCACGCTTGTGGACTGGCGCGTCGCGCGCACTAGGAAGTTCATCGCGCAGTGTCTCTCCGCCGGACTGCAGGGTGCGGCGTACTACGCGCCTGTGTACTTCATGTCGACGTATGCGCGCACGCTGGGCTACTCCGCCGCGACGGGGGCGATGTTCATCTCTATTTCGAATGCGTCGTCGGCTGTGGGGAAGGTGGTCATCGGGCATGTTGCGGACCGTGCGGGGCGGATCAACGTCTTCCTCTTTACGACGCTGATGAGCGCCATTGCGACGCTGGGGCTGTGGTTGCCGTCTACGGTATCTGGCGGGAAGGCCCTGTTCGTCGCGTTTGCGATGTTCTATGGTGTGTTTGCTGGGGCATATGTGAGTCTGTTTCCTGCGACGCTGGTGGAGTTGTTTGGGGTGGAGCACTTTGCCAGTGTCAATGGGTTTTTGTATATGGTGCGCGGGTTTGCGGCGTTGGTTGGGACGCCGGTGGCAGGGGCGTTGATCCGGAGTGGTGGCTCGCATGTCAGTCAGGAGCTGATGAGCAAACTGTTCTTCAATACGAGCATCTTGGTTGGTGTTTTGCTCGTCGGTGCTACGGTGGGTGTGGTGTGGGTGAGAATCGAGGCGGCACTGAGTACGATGGATCGTCAGGCCGGCTTCAATGGAGGGATCAAATGGAGGATTTGATGTATATATATATTTCACTCTGTATGTTATCAAATAAACTCACCGCTTTCAAACACCAAGAACTCTCGGAGTCTCGGCATCGTATAAACCTAGATATAAACACAGCAGCCCGAAACCGAACGAATACGAGCTTAGTAGATACCCAGCCAAGGGCTACAGCCTACATATATAAAGCCATCCCCCACAACGAACAATCATCCTCTCGTATCAACCCAGGCAAAACAAAATGCGCCTCTTTAACGCCACAACCCACCAACTAACCGATTTCCTCGGCGAGACCATCCCCCCCTACGCCATCCTCTCCCACCGCTGGCAAGACGAGGAGGTCATCTTCCAGGATATCTTGTCAGGCACCGCACCCACCAAAAAAGGCTACGAGAAAATCACACAGTGCTGCGCAGAGGCCCTCCGCGATAACCTGGGCTATATCTGGGTCGACACCTTCTGCATCGACAAGACCAGTAGCGCGGAGCTATCTGAGGCGCTGAACTCGATGTACGAGTGGTATCAGAATGCAGAGGTGTGCTATGCTTATCTGTGCGATGTCGCTGAGGATACGGTTCCGACTGCATCGGGAGGAAGCGGACGCGGAGGCGGAGGCTTCAACGACAGCGTGTGGTTCACGCGCGGCTGGACGCTGCAAGAACTCCTTGCTCCTGCGCGGGTGGAATTCTTCAATGCGGATTGGTGCCCCCTTGGCTCCAAAGCTGAGCTGAAGGGGATCATTTCTTCTATCACCGGAATCCAAGAGGAGGTGCTAGACGGGACGCTCCGACCACAAGAACTGAGTATCGCGCAGCGCATGTCCTGGGCGTCGGAGCGGGTGACGACCAAGGTCGAGGATATGGCGTATAGCCTGCTTGGGCTATTCGAGATCAACATGCCGATGTTGTACGGGGAGGGAAAGCGGGCGTTTATCCGGCTGCAGGAGGAGATTATGCGGCAGTCGGATGACCAGACGCTCTTTGCGTGGAAGAGCTCGAGCGCCGATGATACCTACCGTGGGCTGCTGGCGCAGTCGCCGGTGGACTTTAACGAGAGCGGCGACTTCGTGCAGTCGGAGCAGAGGTTCAATCGTAGTCCGTTCGCGGTGACTAATATGGGGATTAGCATTGAGCTGGCTGTTGTGCACTGGACCATGGACGTGTACCTTGCGGCGCTGGATTGCGAGACGCAGAGCAGGAAGAAACGGGTGGGAATCTTCCTCGCTCCGTTGCCGCAGGACAACCAGTACGCGAGGGTAGTGTGCGCCGGAGACGATCTGCCAGACTTTCCGGCAGAGATGAAGTCCGAATATTGCAAGGTCTACGTGAGACAGAGAATCGCAGGGACACCAAAGGCCCCGGAGCGTATGTACGGATTCTGGCTCCGTCAGTTTCCCCCCGTTTGGAAGGGCCCTCACTCCCAATTCGAGGTCACAGCGTACCACCCCTGGGACGACAAGGAGCGCAAGCTCTGCATTCCTCCGGGGAAACGGGGAACCGCGGGAATTATCAGGTACTCTATGCGTCAGGACCACGTCGTGAACCTGCGCGTCGGATTTGACGCCATGCTCAACCCCGTTGTCCAGTTCGGTGGGTCTCTCATGACGGACGCTCGGTTCAAAGCCCTCGATCTCAATGCCTTTGAGGTGCAGATGGCAGACGGCTGGATGGATCAACGGAGGGACCGTGTTTTTATCGGAGATAGGAACCACGGACTCAATGTCAACGACGGGACAATCAGGATACTGGTCTTGGAGGAGGTTGTCAAGAGACAGCGCATGTGGGTCGTCTATATCGCGAAGCCGGAAAATGGGGCTTGGCACAAGGACTGTGTCTGCGACGGATGCCGGCTTACGGTGTTTGGGACTCGATATCGATGCAAGTCGTGTCCTGGGTTTGACTACTGTTGTGATTGCATCCAGAACGCGAGGCATACGCATCCGGGTCATAGCTTTCAAGAGGACAAGCCTGTTTGGCATGCTGGAGTGTACTGTGACTGGTGTAGCGAGGTGAGTCTCCTGCTTTTCTCCTATTGCGCTTGGGCTGACTCCACAGGGCATATATGGGACGCGGTACAAATGCAAGGATTGTGCAGACTTTGATCTCTGCTGTTACTGTATGAAAGAATCGCAAAAGATCCATCCCGGACATCGATTCTCTGAGATTGAACGTCCTGGAGATCAGCCTCGAGAGACTAGGTCTGTCCGAGTACAGGACACCGTATCGATCAGTCAGCTTCAGCGCATCACGAATGACCGCGGTGCGAGCAGCCGGTCAGGTCCTAGGAGAGCCTCGCAATGAGAGCGGGCTCAGATGTATCTACATTCTTTGGCAAGGGTACTGCGAGGAATAGAGAGAGACAAGATAGGCCTCGTTTGGATGTGACAGGAGTAGACGGATCAAGGACAGGTGCATGATGGGATTGTCGATAGTCATAGACAAGAAAGGGTAGCGGTAGAACAGTAATTCTATAACTTTCATAGTGCATGCCTGAAACAGAGCAATTATTATTTAGACCGATCACTAGCAACAGCAGGGGGGAAACTGATAAAACCTGGGTATAGCATGACCTCAAACTTCCTGTCTTAAGGCCCAGCACGACACTCAGTCATCCGCAACCTCGGTCTCACTCCAAGGACACTCAACATCCTCTCCCCACAAATCTCTATACAAACGGCGAGGCACAGACCAATCATGCTCCCAATCTCCATCCGAGCTGCCAACGCCGTCAGCTTACTCCAAGACACGTCCCTTCTATATACTCACCTCAAGCTAACACAGTTCGGAGCCAGCACAGCCGCCCTGAGCAGGATACACGCAACCACCTCATCATATGGTCTATAAGCGGTCTTGACAAATGAAAATCCGGCGTTCCCGTGTCGGTCCAAGCAGAGAGACTCGTATCCGTCGTCTCCGACTCCGTTGAGGTGGATTCCCTGGTGTACGTCGATGACTGGGGGGCCGGGCTCGTCGAAGTCGGGACCGCCGATAGGCACGCTGGAGTTGTCGACGATTTTTTGAGCGTCCTCGACGAGTTGGGGCCAGGCGGCTTTCCATTCGGGGCTGGAGGTATTCTCGACGGTGTAGTAGTGGGTGTAGCTGGTGTTTGTTAGTAGATTATGCGGATGATTGTTTATTCACATACCCCATCTTGGATTTAGCTCAGTTGTGATATCGTTTGTAGTCAGGGATGAATGTGATGGAAACAGATAGCGAAAGGAGAGATGCAAATGAAGATGTGTTGAGGTGTGAGTGTGATGACTGAAGATGATCTTGATATTCTGCAGGCGCCTGTTTCGGACTCAGGCACACAAGGAAGGAGTGTTCGTCACTGCACCTGCACATTTATCGATCATTCACTCTCATCATAATGGCAATAAGGACAGGACTTGAAAATGCCTGTATAAACTTGGTCACCTGGGCCCTGGTTAATGCTTCCAAGAACGGCACTGGCACAGTTTTTTCTGTCTGTCTAACTTCTATGCACAGGGCGGAAAATGGCACATATATTCATCTTTGGGATCAACTTCAAAATCAAAACAAATCAAATCTTCTTTGTACAGAAACTTATAGGTTAAAGTTATCCTACATTCCAGTTAGTCTTGAATAAACAGCTATTGTTGCTTAACATGCAGTTAATCAGTGCATACTGGTGATGCTCATCACTGGCCTGATACTTAGCCAGAGCGGCCTGGTTTTCATAGTAGCTCATGAGAGCAATCTGGAAACCTTTGCTGTGTTTAAGTAAATCCATGATGCTGGGCCCTCTAATAAGAAGGTGTCCAGATTTAACACAGGGGAGGCTTTTCATTGTCCTAAGTTCAGAAATGAAGGTATTCATGTTCTTCACTGACATCTGGGCGGAATTTGAAGAGGACTGTATCCTTATTTCAAAGAACATCAGCATAACCGTGACCATCCCAGAATTTCCGACTGACCAATATGAACCAAGGTCATTGCCACACAGGTTGTAGATGGTAAATGTCTTTGACGGGGGCAATATTACACAAGGCGCCTGAAGAATGGTCGTATTAGTCGATCGCAAGAGCGATTGATACCATTATTGAAAAAAAGAGAATATGGGAATTGAAGCTTCCAACGCCGACCTCGAATTTCGCTAAATCATAAAAACCCATAAAAAAATCGATGCAAATAATATCACCCCTCGATCTGCAAGTTCTTCCCAACCTCAATCTGCAACAACCTCCTGACAGGCCGACTCTCCTCCCGTTTTGATCGATCTTTCACCAACTCCAGAATAACGCCCTTGAAATTCACCGCCAAATCTTCCCAAACAAACGCCGGATTCAATGCCTTGACGAAAACACGCATCGCGGAGACAGGAACATTGATAATGTCGCAGACTTCTTCGGCGGAGAGGTTCTTCTGCATGGTGTTGATGAATTCCGCCCGCAACGACGCCTTGAATTCCGCGAATTCATCTTCTGTTTTAATCATGGCCCTTTCCTCTTCTCCTGGAGGGGCTGCTGGCTCTAGCTTCTTCTCCCCCGTCATAATCTCATGAAGAAAGTCCTCATCGAGAGGCTCGATGCTACCTCCGAATTGACCCTGCTTGCCAACCTGCCACGGAACACGCTTATTCTCCGCATCGCCGAGAACCTGTCTCGTAAGTTCGAGGTTCTTAGTCTGAGTGTTATGGTCAATATCGTCAAAGTCCGCGGCTAACAGCGCTTTGTACAGCTTCATGTTTTGGATTTTCAGCGATTCGGGCTTGACGCGCCACAGCGCCGCGATTTCGACATGTTTGGTCATTATCCCCTGGCAGGCTTCTTTCATCCGTGCCCAATCCTTCCTCTTGCATGCTTCGCAGACTTGCTTCTTTAGTTCCGCGAAGGCTGCGGAGCGCGAGGTGTAGACGCTCGCGGCGGTGAGGTCGTCGTTGACGCACCGTTCGCCTCCCTCTGCGAGATGGTTCAAGTATGTGATCATCTTCGTGTAGCTCTGCGACTGTCTCTCCAGTTTATGCGGCAGCTGCGCGAGCAGCCGAGCCGCGACGGGCTGGAGATCAATATCCTCCGCTGTAAGCATGCGCATGAAGATGGTAATGATAGTGCGCGAATGCTCGAGCTGGATATTCCTCAGCTTGCAGAACTTCTCCATCTCAGCCGTGCGGCTTGCTTTGATCGTGGCTAGATTTTCGTTCTTAGTCACCACCCGGAGGACGGCTTTGTCGAGGAGTTTTTCTAGATTTCCGTGGAATTGTCGGAGTGGCCAGCCTGTATACGGGTATAGTGCGACCACGTTTTCATACCAGATCCACTCAGCGGAGCTCGTGGGGAGGTCGTATTGGGGATTCAGACCGAAGAGTTGCCAGACCATGCTGAGGGGACGGATTCCTGAGCCGGCGATTGTCAAGAGATTACCGAAGAGTCCGCGCATTAACCTTGTGACGGTATCCTCGGCTTTGTCTAGTTCCACGGGCTTAGATGTTCTCATCGCCGCGAGTTTCGACATGGCGGCCATTAACAGTGCGCTCATTAAATGGCCAGTCTCTGGGCTGCTGGGTTGAATATCATGTTCTCTGGACGCGACTGCTTGGCCAAGCGTGCTTCTCATGATAATTCGGAGCGCGGCGATGTGCGGTTCATTGCATTTCTCCATCCATCGCACTGTGTAGGGGCTTTTCAGGTTGACGAACTCAGCCCAACAGACCCAGGCTAGCATTGATCCGGTTCCTGATGACTGGCTTAGGTAGGGTAACGCCAGAATGGGCTGGGAGGGTCCTATGGTGCTTTTGAGTGGGCCGTCGTGCGTGGTTTGCGACTGCTCCATGATGATGCCTGCGTCGAATCCTTCCAGGTGCAGGATTCTCGAGTCGAGGGCGCAACATTGGCTAGAAAAGTCAGTGTCATTCGAGGTATACTTTAGGAGGCTTGATGGGGGAGGTTGCACATACCTGGCATCAATGGCGCTGTTTTTCAAGTTACCCAAAAGCTCACGATAAGGCGTCGTCTCAATATTCAAAAGCATAACACCCATATCTCCCGCGTATTCCTCAAGGTATCCCGAGAGAGTCTCAAACGTCATGGACTTCGCTGCCTCGACGTTATTTTGAATGGTGGTTTGGCGAACAAGGCGCTTCAGATCGTGCGTTCGCTTGGAAGTCGTTTGAGACGATATCATGTTCGCCAGGCATGAGATCACCGGCTCAAGGGCCTTTTGCATGTCCTTTGTGATCTTTCTCAATTTGCCAAGCATGTTATTCTTCTTCTGCACGGATTTGGGATCTTCCCTACGGTATTCCTGTGTTAGGAATTCGGTGTAGCTGTCTCTTAATGGGGCTGCAACCTTGTTGATCTTGGCGGAGAGCGCAGTCACCAGGGCTCTGGAGAGTTCTTGTAGGTCTTTCTGGTTCAGAAGCACCTGGAGCTGTGAAACTACTGCAGATATGTCGTCTTCCAGGTTTTGGATCTGGTCGACTGAAATTTCTTCAAACAACTTCTGTAGATCTTGGGGTTGGACTAACTGGCCGGTAGTGGGGAGGATGATCGAATTTGCGTCGCCGAGGTTAATGACTCGCTCTATCCTCGGATCTAGGATGGAGCCGATGCCTACAGACTCGAGTACACTTGTTACATCTGAGCCAAATGCTAGTCCCGACGTATTGAGGTGTGCCCGGTTGGCAATGCCTCTGTAGAAGTAATACTTGTCGGAGATCTGAACCAGAATCAAGGACTGTGGTCCTGCAAGTGCCGTCACTGCATTGATATTCGCCGAATCCATCAGCGAAAGGATACTATTGGTATCCTTGGGCTCGGTTTCTGGAGTGAGTTGAACGATGAAGAGTGCATTGATTCGGTAGGCAGATGCGAGATTCCGGGCATTATCTGTCATTCGTTCGTCGACGATCACCACGGCATTCTTGAGTTGCTTATAGTAGTCCCGGAGTGCATCTTCATTGGGAAATGGGACATTCGAAGGGAMTGTTCCGGTTGCAAGTAGAACTGGGCCTTGGAGCTCGGTACCAAAGATGCATGGCAGAACAATAGCGGAGGGCTCCTCCCTCGTGGGTACCTCTTCGTTTGGTAGTTTGAATTCAAGACCGGTGCCGAACCGTATGATCTGTGTTTTCTCCAGATCAATGAACGAAGGAAGAACAGCTGAATCGGTGGTAAAAATGGCATTTTCTTTGGTGATGACCTTACGCAGGTTTTCTGAATTTGACGCTGTGTCCTCTTTGACTGAATCATTCACCGGGGCTGTTTTTGTATACCATATTAGCTTTGCTCATCGCTTCGGTCGTTTTGACGATGGTGATTCTTACTTCGTGTAGTTAGTTCAGGAGTACCCATAGTGAAGTCAGCGCGTTTTATCGCTTCTGGGAAGGCAGGGCTGATCAACTTGTCACTGTTGCACATCATGTCCCGGTCCGTGGTTGCGGTTGGTAATATCGAACAAATTAACGAGTCTCCATCGCGTTTTATTACCAACGGGCAGCAGATTGTTGCGTCCCCGATGGTCGCTGCGTCCAAGGGCACCGGGATGATGTAAAGAACCTGTCAACGATGAGTCAATCGATGCTAGAGAAGAGGCTAGTTTTCTGGACTTGCCTTATCCACATGATCAGCGACTAGCAAAGCAGGGTGTGTTCCCAGAAACCTTGTGATGAGTGTAGACTGGTAGCCGGAGATGAACACGCAGATTTCTTTCTCTGTTAGAGAGTTCTTGTTGATCTTCACATAATCGAGGAGATCCTGTCCATTGAGAATATCTCCGCTGTGGGTGATTCCCGGGAAGGTATTTCTTGCCAGCCAGCAGCATGCCCTACACGATTCATCCGCGAAGCAGAAGTCGTAGTAAGTGGGTGTTCGTTCAGAAACTGCTAGAATCGTGATTTGATCTGAGACGATAGGGATTTTAAATGTTGATGCTGGTGCTTGCATAATCTGGAAGTCCTCGAATACCTCTGCACGTTGTCAACATTTCCCTTCTCCATCCATATACTCATTGGAAAGAGAAGACAGACTCAGATGGGACTGGAAGCCGGCCATTCGCCGTAAAAGGATCTCGCCCATCTCGCCCAAGTCCATGGCATTAAAAAAAAAGGTTTCCGGGTAGGAAGAGATATCGATTTCCTCAATGCCATTTTCTGTCCGACAAAGAAGGATTTGCTCCAGGCTGAAAGGGTGTGCAGAGCCGACTGGGAGGTCTTCCAGGATCTTTTGAACCTGGGCCTTCGAGGTCGCGAGAGGGTTGAAGAAGGTTTTCCTTACTCGCTCCATGGTTGCTGGAATGAAGCCGATCGCGAGTAGTGAGAGTAAATGCAAATGCTCAAATAGAAAGCTGGCCAAATGAGCAGAGTATTTGTAGCCCCAGCCGGTCGCTTTATCCCAGTGACTCACCTTATGAGTCAATGCGGGCTCCCAAAGTCGATTAGCATGAGTTGAGGTAATAAACGGTGTCAAGTAAAGTAGGGTAGTAAAGTACACCTGAAATACCTAGTTTAGTTCCATTTGTGTCGGGATTTCTTTGTTTGTACGGAGTACAGAGTACGGAGTACGGAGTCAGGAGTACTTCTTGACGCTCTGAGAATTGGGAGCTTCAACCCCTTCCCTACTCATGTAAGCCAGGACACCCTAACGTGTCCTCGCATAGTCTGCTCTTTTATATCTTAAACTAATTCAACTCATCTTTTTGGATTGGTTCCCTTGGTAGATTAGCCCCATTCTTGCATACAGTGCCATCCTGTATCAGCTTGCCGCGATATATAGTTCAGGACTTCAGGCACCAGGCACAAGCGATGAGTTCCATAGAACCTTACGGTATTACGACAATGACTCATCATAGACTGGGTTACGAACTGTAAATGCAACAAAATACAACCTAGCATCTCAAACAACAATGGCCTATGCAGCGAGATGAACGTGGGACTGCGACCAGAGCAGACGACAGATTTACCAACCTTGTGACACCAATCCTAGATTATGCGTCGACGGTCTCCACCGGTCTTTCAAGTTACGTTTTTGAGCATCCGACTCGAATATACTATGACACTATCGAAACGTACCTGATGCCGTTGAAATATGCTCAATTACGTTCAATGTATATGTCCGACTTGAATCTCGCCATGAGTACACGATCAATTGTCTGACTCCGCCGACTCGATGAAGCTGAGCTGCAAACGGCAAGCCTCTTTCACTAGACTAAATATGCCAGAGGCGAGTTAAAGTCCTCGATTAAAGCCGCTAACAGGGGAGCACTGGTCAAAGAACGACAGCTCGCAAGTCTGCATCATGTCTTGGAGGAAAATGTTCATAATTCCGTCAGAGAAAATGCGCCAACTTCCCGCCATGGTGATGCTAGCTATAGATCACGGTTCTTTAAAAAATATACCACCGTACCAGAATGATCTGAATGTTCTCTAGACATCTACTAACGCCTACTATTCTTGCCTAAACTGTGTATATTAGAAGTAATGGGATAGACTCTGCGGTTTCTGTATGCCATCGACACAATACTCTGTTCCAGTGCTTACACTTGCCACCTCTATCGTGACATATTATCTGATCTGGTCAATATCCCACTAGGGTAGTCTGTAACTAATGCGCTCACTAAACCATCTGACATAGAAATAAACATACAGACCATCAGAGGCTGAATGAGTTAGTAGATGTGTGGTTTGATCATTTGATCACGAGGTATTGCTTAACCGGTAGATGTAAGCTGGGTGCTCGTTTTCTGTAGGCTATGGCGGAATCAGACAACCCACCGCTTCAATCTTCATTATTCCCGAAAGGCAAACTGACATTCAACAAATGCCAAAAGTGATCATACTATTAAGACGACAGGTGCCGCTGAGACATGCGCGAGCCATCAAGCGACACGTGCATGGACAGCCTTGAATACGAAGGCCAAGCAGAGATGTCTCAGCCCTGACGTACATCATGTCAGCTTTTGAGGATTCTGTTTCAGACAGATGCACGGATTGGGTATCTTCAAGTCAGCTGAAATGGGTTGACTTTTGAGGCAGATCCTTCCGTTTGGGTGCCATCTGGCATGCTTGAAACACCACCATATAGAACGCTGCCTAAGCGACATTTCGATTCCGGATGGACTCGAGACTCAGCTGGCTGGAAGAAGTGAGATCGGATTTCTATTCATGTAAGCTGGAGATATTACTGCTTCTGCCTATAGGATGCAAAATATGTGATGAGCTCATGATCCTAGCCATCGACGGAGCTGCGTTCTTTCCCCAAACATATAAGAGTCAACCTATCCCTAAACATCTAGACCGTCAACACATCAACAATCAACATCAATATCACACATTTTCCAAGACAAGCTATAACCATGCACCTCCTCACATACATCACCCCCCTCCTCTCCCTCTTCCCTCTCATCAACGCACTGCCCGGTGCTACCAGCTGCACAACCGTCACCCCAGACATCGCCCGCGTCTCTCAAGCCCAGCCAGTAGCCTCCTACCTCCCCGGCTTCCGCATCTCCCAGCAAGCCGGCGGCACCAACAAAGAAGACATGTTCGTCGAATTCAACGTCACCGCCGGCAGCTGGGGCTGCTCGCTCTCCTACTCCTTCCCCGCCGGCACCCCCATCACAACATCCGGAGCCGCCGCGCCCGTTGAGATCTTCGCGGTGAACGGCCCGTTGAGCCGGTCTCCTCGCGGCATCGACGTGTCCTGGGCGTATTGTCCGGCAACCGGTGCGTTGGTCGGGAGCACGACCTTTGAATCGGATCCGAACCAGGCCACGACGAGGTTCGTTAATAGTTTCTCGTGCTCGAGTAAGATGACGTACCGGTTGAGTATTGCGGGGTGGTATAAGCAGGTGACTAGTGTGGAGTTTGCGCAGGGTCCTGGGGTTGGGTTGAGGATGAGTTATAATTGTTAGTTCGTATACAGAGTGAGGCTGGAGAGCAAGGCCAGTCGAATAGTGAAGATCATGAGGTTGTTCTTGGGATATGTCATTCCTTTAATAGTGAGTATACTTATTGACAGCACCAGATAGGGAATCGCATTCAATTTGAAATATCAGCAACAATGCACAAATTTCATTCTTAAGCTTTGGGAAATATAAAACCTCCTATGGAGACCAACGGTACAGGTATCAAGTAATATACCTAATGGCAAGGCATCCACCTGCGTAGATCTACAGATCTCACCTGTTGAATATAAAAAGCAACTAAGAGCCCAAAACCCAGACATACCAGATCGTCGTTATAGGTGGTGGTCTTTCCCGTCCCGCAGGCGTCGGCGAGGATGCCCCCACCGACGGGGCTCTGCTCCCAATTCAGCATCCAACTGGCCCCAGTTACTTGCCACTGCTTCAGCGTCGTGGCAGGTTGGTTCACATTGGAGGGCACGACCAGGCGAGGGTTGCTGGGATCGAGGCCGAGCTCGTTGCAGGCTCTCTCATACGCGGGGGCGGGGGCGGATAGAGTCATGCGGGCAGGGCGCGCCCCTGGACATCGCGTCATCTGGGGCATTGGCTCTTCCCTCGGCCTCACCCTCGGCCTAATTATCACTCTTTCTTCGTTGTGCTTTGTCATGACGGAAGAGCGGCGCGCCCATCAAATGCTGCGCTTCCCTATCCGTTCAGAAGCATTTTATTTCAGGTATCCGTCAGTTCTTCTGACGAAGAGTAGGACGAAAGATCTTGGTCAGAAATGTTGGTGGTTCTGGTACCTATTGGTTTTTGTATGAAGCTTATATTCCTATCTTGCCAGTGGTACCACCCCTCCACGGAAAAGCGGAGCGTGTCTTAAATGGCAAGTCGAAACGGAAGCAAAGGGTCTGGGCGCCATGGTTGACGATCTCCGTGAGCGAGCTGATGAAGTCCTTCAGAGTGTTCTCAATTGAGCGTCTATCTTCCAGTCCTTAAGGTCTTTGTCAACGAGATTCGAACGCCATCGTTCATCTTGCCTGGAGTGGCAATCCTCTATTTGGGTAAGCATCTTGCATGTAGCGGCTGTGTACACGGTGTTATTGTCAAAGTGGTCTGCTTTCCGAAGGATTCGCCCAGGAGTTGGTGAAGTGCAAGGCTGTTGTGGAAGGTCTTGTATACTGAGAGCTTGGCCAGCCCCTCGTCCCAAAACTGAGACGTGGACATGGCCCCTAGGCGCAGTGTGTGTTGCCGGCTACCTCAATGGTAGCTGCGCCAACTGTCACTACCATAGTCATGGCGCTTATTGCAGCTTCTGCCGTATATGTCCAGCAATTCGTCAACCGCAGCACCACCCACATGGGTTCCAGGAACAGATGATGCGACAGTTCTTTTGGTACGGCTGGTCAACCCTAAAGAGAGTTGAGTAACTTTGAAAATACATAGTTAGTTGCGTAGAAATAGTGAAAACATACATGGCTTTATGATGTCTGTCAAGACAGCCGTCGTATAGAGCGAGGTCGCAGCTAAGCTGCTCGGGCTCATCTCAATCTGTTTAACATATTCTTCAAGCTTCTCCACAGAAAAGAGCGGTTGGTTCAGGGATTGGGCGACCTTCAGCATCAACAGCAGATTTTGCTGTCAAATTTTGCTGATCGTCAAGGAGACTCTTTAGCGCCACCACGCGATGCTGGCCATTACAGGTGACTTATCATATCTGCAGACCAGACACATGAGAACCAGAAAGAGTCGTCTAGCATTGTGTTGAAGGAAAGGTGACAGAGGAGGCGCATCGCGCTGGTGGTCTTCTCCATCTCTGTGAGTAGTTGGATGAACCGCAGATTGTGCTCCCGACGGGCCCTTCCAGGATGCCCGAGATCGACAGACATGATCCGCATAGGGGGAATGTCGTCGCCAATAAGGCGACACTCGTTGTCGGCCCGGTCAACCAGAACTCCCATATGTCTCCGAAGGCAGATCATCTTCATGATGATGGGGAGCACCTAGTATGCGTTGTGGGGGCTAAGGTGGCCCTGAGTAAAAGGCTAACGAACGCTGTGGGCATGAGGAGCTGGTAGGATGGGGATGAGGGTAGTGATGGCATATTGGCAAACTTCCTGTTCTCTATCAGCCAGTCCGTATCCTCTGCAATGTCGTCGACAACCCCTGACCTTCGCAGCCTAGGGAACAGGATTGCTAGATAGCCGCATAGGTCAAAAGCGCGATTATACAACAGCGTTGCCGTCAGAACCAAACGTGGCGTGCCTCGAGCCGTGCAACCGCTTGATGATGTTTGGTCCGGATGGTTTTGTCAGGGACTTCCTCAGAAGTCAGAAGTGTGCAACGAGCTGCCTTAGAACAGCATCTGACAGGCGGCTCTAGAACACGACAGACCGGTCGTTGCAATGGTTGGATCGCAGGAATTCGGAAGGACTCTTATCACTAGTAGAGATAGTTACCTGGACGTGACTCTGCATCATCTGCATATCAATTCCCTAGCTGAATGGTAAGAAATTTACTAATTTATGATGAAGGTGCAGACCAACCTCAGCCCATACAACGGACCCTTTAGGAATACCGTTCTCTTTGATGAGCGATTTGTCCATGATCTTTCCATCACAGAGCTATGTTGTATGTCAGCACAATATTCAGTGTACCTGGTCTTGATGATTTACTAACCTGTATGAGCAGCCGCTCTTACAACTCACCAGCTGCAAAGGTAGCCAAGCTGCCTATCACACGTACCCTGTTGTCTGGGCGCAGACCAAACGTTCCTCATTGTTCACATAAACTGGTTGTACTGGTGCGTTCTGGCAGGCAGCAAAACGGACCCTGGACCTGGTGAAGAAGGAGGGGGCGCACGTAGAGCTCTTCCGCCAGCAAGATAAGCTTCTTTCTCAAGCTTACCATGCTCGGCCACGACAGTATCGTCTGTCCCGTAGCCAGGCACATGAGCTCAGTCTAGGGAGCATATAGTGTTGCGATTTCATCAAACTTTAGTAGACAGCCAGACTTCTTTGGTGTCCTTGCAGATTGCGAGCATTATAAATAATTCTAGCACATCCCTTTCCAGAAGGTCTGCCGCAAGAATCACACCCAGAAAAGAGCAGCTTTAGCTGGTTGAATAGACCGTCAAGACAGGAAGAGAATTACAGAAGGTAGAAAAGAGAAGAAGGGAGATGGGAAATATTATATTGCTGAAGCATGTGAATGACCCAAAGACAACATATTCACTCAGCTATTCATTGTTCCGCAAGAGACCCATTCAAATGATGAGGCTGAGACAATCAAAGACAGAAGGTGAAAAGGAAAAGTAACCGATGTGAATGCTCCAATCAGCGGGTAGGGCCAGGCCCTCAGAGACCATGTTTCCATTCTGGGAAAACGTGGCGCTATTCCCGTTCGCTTAACCAACTTCCATCCAATAACGAACCAGACCATTTTTTATACGAGATAAACGCCAAGCTTAGCAAATTAAGCAGCGTCCAGGGTCTGCGGCTCAGCAGGAATACTTAATCCCTCCATGGATACGGCCAACCTAGCTTGGAGGTGAGATGCAACATGTGTCTTCAAGACAGTGCCCTCCCGCTATGGCACATTTTCTGCGCCTTACTCTGCACATCGATCAGTGTGCTCTTCCAGCCAGCCGGCCATGTCTCATTCGTCGATGACTTGAAAGTCAACACCGCATTCCTATCCCCCATCACAGGGGCTCTCTGGCTTCTGCGCACTGTATTCGGAGTTCTCGCGTGCAGGGTATCCAACTTGGCGGATTTTCCGGCAGCTCTATGGATTGCCTCGGAGAAAGAGTTCCAGAGTCATGGTGGGCCCTACGTGATGAGCGCACTCGGACGAGGACCACGGAATATCTACGTTACTGCCCGATGGGTGTTTTTCGTCCTGATCACCCTCCCGCTATACCTCAGTCTGGTTTACGTTGTCCAAGTCTGGTGGGCGACAACATGGGCAACCTGCCAGGTAACCAAATTCCTCTTGCTGGAACTCCTGGCAAGTTACTACCGCCCATCGCAGACAAGGATAGTCGTCCACACAACCTGGCCCGAAGTCCCGCTCATCACTCTGACCAGCACACGAATCCCTGCTGAACCCAGCAAACCTGACCAGAACCCCGTCCAGGGGAAGGATGTCGTCGCAGAACAGAGAATCGACCCCAAAGACGCAAATGCCCTTCTCCCCCTCTGCGCCCGCATCGAGAAATTCGTCTCCACCACGACCCAAAGCCCCGACGAAGCAGAACGCAGCCGCATGACCGCAGCAAAAGACTTCTACCTCCGCAAAGCCCTACACCACGAGTCTCTCGACCCCCGGCTCGGCTGCGCGCATACGCGTTGTCGCCTGTTCAAGCTCTTCCATGCACTAGCCAGCGCACAGGCCTACCTGTCATTGACCCTCGAGGCTCTCGTCGTCCTGTACCTGGGCCACCAGAACTTGCGCACAATCACCATCCTCGCCACGGGGTGGACCATGAGACCCCGCTGGGTGATGTTTGCCGTTTCCCTGGGTACGAGGGTTACTTTGGTAGTACTCCTCCCGATTCTTCTGGCGTCGGTGGTGATGGCCGTTTTGCGTGTGCGCGTCGCAGCTACGGAGGTGACGTTCTGCCGCCGCGCCTTGGAGTCTATTTGTTTGATTATGCTGGGGGTTGCTTGTGTGGTGTATTTCCTTGCGTCTGGGTATCCGCCTATTTCGCCCGTAACGTTTGCGTGGGTGGGGGAGGTGATTGCTGCTCCGGTGATACTGGGAGTAGGGTTCAAGGTCTCCCTATGGCTTGTGCGAGAGCCGCGGCGAAAGGTGGATGGACCCTGGTCGACTGGGGAGGAATGGAGGACGATCAGCGATAAGGAGAAGGTTGCGGATGACCCGCCGCTGCTGGAGCATCTGTTTGTGTTTGCTTGGATTGTGGTATTCGCGATTCCTACAGTTGTTGTGTGGGTTGTGATGAAGACAGTGTATTGTGCTGCGATTGCCTCACAGGAAGCCAATATTCAGAGGAGGTTTGAGGAGTATTATGAGCATCCGGGATTTTAGTAGTCTGACTTCCATTTTGCCTTTTGAGGCTGATAATCATGAATATAAGCTATAGTTTCAACATGAGCATCAAACAGCGCAGAGACTTGTTCTTGCCCATCTTCTCCTCCACTCTGTCCAGCGTCTCTAGCATTGTAGTGAACAGCTTCTCTAACACTTCCAATGTATACGTCAGACTCCCACACTCCTTCATCTCGGCCAGAATACGTAGCTTGTCGGCATGCGACATCTGCGTCTTCTTGTCCTCTCCGTATATGAGCTTGAATAGCTCGTCTGCCTTCGGACTATGCTCGAGCAAATGGAGGACAGGAAACGAGAACTTGCCCTCGTCTAGATCATCGCAGAATCCTTTCTTTGCAGTGTACTATTCAAGTTAGTCTTGGAGGATAAGTTGAGTTGGRATACCCACCTCATCAGATGCGAGATTCTGATAGTCGTCGCGGATTTGATAATATCTCCCAATGAGGGTAATCAGATGTTTCTGGTCAGGGTCGACTTCACTGCTTGTCAGAGAGCACATGGCACGTAGTAACAGTCGAAAAAAGCCTCCAGTCTTATGGTCGACCATTATGAAGTACTCATTAAGAGTCGGACGAGTCTTGTCGAACGTCCAGTGAAGATCTAGCGCCTGGCCGCGAGCAAGTGTTTTGATTTCCTCTACAAAATCACATTAGTATTGAATCGATCACGGAATAGAGAGATTCACCTAGTATTATTTTTAAACAATCAGGGCCAAGATGCTTAAGAATACGGCCGACGGCCTCGGCATGCAGAAACGTGGCGGTGTTGACAGTCTGACTGAGTCCGAATTTGAGATGTGCAGCGGCTCTACCACGCCGACGTGTTGAACCGTCCTCGATATCGTCGAGTCTGCATCGTTAGCGAATTGGCTTATTCTGACTGGGTAGACATACAGCAGTGTTGAATTGAAAAGTATCACCGTGACCTCTTTCAGGACTGAGGAGATATCATCTGGTATACTGAACCACACCCGCAGGCAATTGATGAATTTGGTCAAGGTGTTTTTGCCAGGAAGAGCCTTTATATACTCGAACGGAGCCATACAAATCTGAAATATTAGCTACTGGTAGCAGATGAGGTGAAAAACTAACCTGGTCGGCATCGGCAACCTGAAAAGGTGCGCAAACATCGATTTCCAAGACAGTGCCGTTTGCAACTTTGAGTCCCGGACAATCTGCTTCATGACTTTCTCCATTCACAGTCTTTTCCTGACTCTCATCGTGTGCTGCTGGAGGAGGATGTCCTTCTAGTTTAAGGACCGGGTCCCGTCGCTGTTGAAGCAACCGAGCTCGACCCTCGGCGGTGGTCGTAAACCCATCGTCGCGATACCTGGGAGTTTGAGCCTGCCAGTAATTTGCTCCGCCAATTGATAGAATGAAAATAATGACGTAGGAGCGAAGATCATCCGACTTGGGTACCGACGACTTCTCCCATTGTCTGTATTGCTGCACCAGGTTCTTTTCCGCGTCAAGTACCTCTCGCTTCAGGATATCCCCTGCTTCAAGCTCGGTATATCCATACTCAGTCATCAGCAGCGCCATCGCATTGTGCATCGCATCAAGACTTCCAGAACGAAAATGGTCGTCAAACTCTCGATAAAAGCTATAGTAGTCGTTTGACAGTGATACGCTCAAAACACCGTAATCAACCATTTCCGACACGGACTGCCTTTCATCTTCTGTCAGCCGCAGGCCCTGCATGTAAGTAAAGAACTCGTGGGCTTGTCTAATCCGGATTAGCCTCCAGTAGAATTCAAAATTCAGAGGCATCGGCTCACTTGACAGTAGAACTCGCCATCCGAGCTTTCTTGTACTCTTCAAACGACATGCCGGACTGGCTGCCCGTCGACTGCGCAGTAAAAATATCTACCGTCGTTTTGAAGAACAGCGACCTTACATGAGGCGAGAGGTTGGATACATTATTCGACAACAAGTCAAATCGCTTGTTTATGTCATACTCGAACACGGGCGGTTGACCAAGTTTCCACATCGACAGGGCGGCCAGGGTGAAATCAGCGAGGGCGTCTTTTTTCTACTCATCATCAGTGCCTGCCCGTTAAAGAAGACACAGAAATCTTACGCTTCGTGTATCAAGCGTATCAATCTCATCTATAGGCATAAGAACATGTAGCTCAATAAAAGGAGGCTTGATTACCGTCATAATGCAAAAGTAGTTCGGACATTTCAGTCGTCAGCGGTATCAACGCAGGTGGCAATTCGGGCGCAGCCCACGAGATCATATGACCAGTGGAAGTGATACATCCTCGCCGGAGAAGAGACTCTGCAGACTCTGACGAGTGTTCAGCGATTCTTTTGATTACGTCAAGCGATGTAGACGTGGCCGTTTCATGGAATCGCGATTTGCGGTAGGGTAGGCTGTTGAAGAACAATGGGGGAAGCTGTTCGTTCGGATCTGGAGGATCTGAGTAGAGATAGTTGTATGAAAGATTTGGAAAGTCGGACATGCTGGCTGCAAGTATCAGCGATGCTTAGAATGGTAGATGCGTGTGTTTCCATGGACTCCAACTCGGGGGATTGGGCTTCTTATCAAGTCTGTCCGTCCTGAAAAAGCAATTCAGCCTCCTCATTCTGGCGGTTAACGATTGGCTGCTCTGACGTGTTGCGCAGAATATGCACGTTCCTTCACGATGCCATCATTCAGGAGTGATGGTGTCAGAATAATAAGATAGTCCAGACGCCTTTTTGGCCGCAACCAGTAGTATCTGTGCCAGGCGCACCCACACCGTGTCTGCGGTGTGGGTGCGCCTGGCACAGATATATTTCAATAGATGGTGATTGTGGCTTGCTTGCGGGGCTTCTTCTGGACTTTTGGAGATTTGGGCGCAGATCAGTCTGCAAGAGAAGGTTTAGTAAGGTAGTTATGTGACATGTCAACATGTCAACATGCCAACCATTAAACCACTCAGCTAGAAATGTGTCTAGACACCATTTGTAGCATCATGGAAATAATTGAAAAGAAACATCCTAGGTGACTGATTACTGTAAGGCATGGGCCGCATGGCCTCTGTAGGCACTCTAGGTAGAAAGTCTGTTTCGCTTTGGTATGAAACTTTTACTCTGTACACTGTCATTATTACAACACTTACACACACTGACTCTTAACTGTCGCAGTGAATAAAGGCAAAGAAATTTCTTTTCTCTTCCTTCTTCCCGTCTCACAGTCGTCTACATCTGACTCTCTTCCTCAACACTTGATCTCAACCCTCTTTCTCAGTGTATCTTTGACTTCATCTTCCCATTTCCATTTCCTACCATCTTACTGAATCGTATCGAGTACCACAATGGCGAAGCTTCTTCGAAAGGTTGCCTCTTCCTGGAACCTGGACGACTCAGCAAAGCGAGACAAGCGTGACACGTACGTGAAGGGGCTCTATGAACTCTGGGAACAAGTTTCCACCAGGAAAGATCCATACCTGACACTTTCGCCCTCTGATCTGCCTCGCATCAAGTGTGTGGATCTCCTCGGAGAGTCTACCTTTCATGAAGAGTCAAGTGTTCCTGGATTCTTTCGTAAAATGACTCACAAGAAACTACGGGATTATCCAATCAACGAAAATAACGAAGAAACTATGGGCTGGCATAGACGCAGTAAGGCTTTCTGGAGTCAAACTGAGAAGATTTACCAGGGTCTCCGTCCCATTAAACAGGCCGCAATGATGTGCGGGGCAATGCGACTCGCCTTTAATGCATACAAGAGAACGACAAGTGATGGTCGGCAGGTTACGCTTAGGCAAGTGTCTGGGTGGAAGGAAGCGTATGAAACTCATCCCCTTATTCACAACTTGTAGGTGCGATAGGTGGTTAAGATGCTTACTGCTCCATTTAGTGATTTTGCGGATGAAATCTTTCATAGCCTTTTTGACGACGAGGTCTTGCACTCCAAGCATTGGTATGCCAGGGATGCCTGGCAATCAGGCAAGCCGCAGAAGCAACCCCATGTCATGTTGACTCTTGCACATGAGTATGAGGGGAATGATAGCAGCCTTCTGTGTGGAGAGATACTGGCTATCCTGGCCACCATGCTGACTCGACTTGAAAGCGACTTCTTCAAGGATCATAATATCATTCCTGTAAGCCTTCCCCTGAGTCACTTCAACACGGGGCTCGACTAAGACTAAATGCGAATGGCTTTTTCGCGCATCAGGTCATGGTACTATCTTTCATGGCCGATCTGAAAGGCAGGGTGCTTCAGGCCTACTTCGCTGACGATGGGCTGGTCATTTACAAGAGCAGGATTTTTTCTTTCAAAGAAGAAGCCGGCGAAAAATCAGCGGAGCTCTTTCTCGGGTACATGGGGAGTGAAATGATCGGGGCTACCGCAGTCAAAAGGCTTCATCACTCCATTCCAGGTGATGAGGCTACCGCAGTCACAGAGGTTCATCACTCTGTTGAAACTCCAAGCCATGACTGAAATGACTAGAAAGGTCAGTCCTGCCCCTGCCGTTCAGGGCGCATCTTCTACTCCTGCCGTTCAGGAGGTTCATCTTGCCTGTCCTGTCGTTCAGGACGCATCTTCTACTCCTGCTGTTCAGGATTCATCTAGTCTCCCATAATCCCCTTTTTTTTTGTGGTCAAAGGTCCCACCGCATTATCGCTACAACGAAAGCGTCTGGGAAAAGTCGAACCCCCAATTATGCGTGGCACTTTTGATTGTTCATCTAGACTATCTTTACAGCGGTTTTTTGATAGAACGAATGCTCACTGAAGATGATCAAATGACTAAGATCTGCCTCCTGGCAACATCAGCGAAGTTGCTTCCGGGCGTACTTGAATTCGTCCAGCAGCAACATTGCTATCCTGAATTAGGCGAGCGGTTTACATGGATGGTGTGTTCTCTTCGGCGTATCTTGACTGCAAGCTAACCCCAGGTGATAGTTCCTTTTCTACGGCCTTCCAGGTGCTTGGACCCTTGCCACCGAGCTTCATCATAGCACTCTCCGTGGAGTCCCATTACAAACCTCTATTCCTTGCGCCACCATCATCCGCGACTTGAGTGTATTACTGGCATGGTTCGAGCGCAAATGTTTTCCCGATCGGCCTGACTTTCTCGTCTGTGTTCAGATTAGCAAAGTCATTGGTGCTCTTTTGGATGATACACTGAACAAGGGGCGACCTTCATCTCAGATGGTAATTCAACCGGAAAAGGAGCAGCCAAATCAGCAATCACCGGGTTTATCTCATCCTCGTCCTGTAAGCCACAGCCACCTTGGTATGGTTCAGCCGCTACCTGACTCAGTGACAAGTCAAGACTTTCTTAACTGGTTTGACGATCTAGTGTGGGACGATCCTTCCATGAATTTTGACTCCATCAGTTAATACACCTTCAGTGAGAAATTTGAATTTATCCGAATATTGACGCTCTCAGCTGTTCTATAATTAAATGTGAATCTGACATTGTTGGGGGGTACTTAGGAATTACTTCCTGTGCCGTTCATGTCGGGCACCGTTTAGGGCTTGGTTACCCCCAGATACTCCAGGCGGAGTGACCAACTCAATAACAAAACGGGACATCTGTCAGACACCGCTTATATGCGGACAAATAATGCAGTTTGATATATCTCCGGGAGCAAGCGATGACTCGAAATACGAGGTCACCTGATAGCAGACATATAAGTCTTGCCGTCATTGACCAACTCCAACCCCTCATTGTCCAAAACACACCCATCGCAAGTCTCTTAACCAAAATGTCTACTGCAACGAAGATTCTAACAGCACAATGTCACTGCAAATCAGTGCACTTCAATATCAGCATCCCTGTAACATCCCTTCCCCTACCAGTCCACCTCTGCCACTGCAACATCTGCCGGCACCAACGTGGAACTCTCTGTGTCTTCCATGCCCCGCTTCCATCCGGCATAAGGCCAGATTTCATAGCACCATCGAGCATGGCCAATATGACTCCCTATATCCGACCCGGGTCGGGAGGGAGGAGATACTTCTGTAGTACATGTGGCTGCCAAATTGGCGGTGGACTTATCGAAACTGGTGACTGGGTGATCTCAACGGCCATCTTCGACGCCAACCGCGATGATAAGGGGATCTGGGATATCAAAAGACATATATATACCGAGCCTACGCTGGATGGCGGGTTAGCGGAGTGGTTACCACGAACTGGCGAGAAGGAGATGGCGGTGTGGAATCCGCCAGACGACACAATCGATCATCCACAAGAAATCGATGGAAAACTACTCGCGCAATGCGACTGCGGAGGTGTGTCATTCCAATTCTCCCGCCCAGCCCAGGAAATCCTCGACGACCCAGAGATGAGACGCAAGTGGGTATCCCCTGTCGATAAGACAAAATGGATCGCCTGTCTGGATGCTTGCGATACGTGCCGACTGACAGACGGGGCTCATGTGATGGCCTGGACGTTTATCCCAAAGAAACTCATCACGCCAACGATTCCGGACGATCTACTCCTCGGTTCGTCCAAAGGCTATGTCTCCAGCAAAGGAGTGCGGAGGACGTTTTGCGGTACTTGCGGCGCGACAGTCTTTTACGAGTGTGATGGACGCGAGGACATCGTGGACGTGGCGATAGGTCTTCTCCACGCGCCAGAGGGTGCCAAAGCGGAGAACTGGCTGACGTGGAGGACGGAGCGAATGGCCTTCCCGGAGGATGGGATGCGGTATGATCCTGTGTTGACTGAGTCGCTTCGTCGAGGATTCGAGGAGTGGGGGAAGCGGAAGCATGGAGGCTTACTTGATATTACCATCGGATAGAACTGTAAATCGCAGAAGTGGGAGGTGTCAATATAATGTTGCTGAATGGAGAAAGGACTGCCACTGGTGGTCAATCTCCCTCGACCGTCGTGATACTTTCACCCTCCTGCTTCCCTCCTCCCCTTGCCCTTCTCTCCGTACAAGCACATTTTCTGACAACTTCTCGTTGTTGGAAGTTAGGCATCAGAGTACTGCTTACCCGTCAACAGCCTTTACGACTAGATCTGGATCTTGGGATCCCTCTTATAGTTCCTGATTGACGACTTGATAGTGATACAAATGTCTTCTTTTGCCGCTACCTTTGATCATAACCTTGATTCTGATGCCACGATGAATATGATAAAAAAGGCAAAAGAGTATTCTATCTATAAAGCGACTTTAGTTACAAAATATGGGAAATTTGGAACAGAGATAGCTCTTGAGGCAATGGCAGTAAGACCTAGGTGTGCTCTAGGCATTGTTTAGAACTTGGCGAGCATTGTAGATATAGTGATAACTCAAGTATAATATCCACTACTAGCTGAGGAAGCAGAGAGAATAGGAAAGAGAAGGTATTTTCATCTTTTTAACATTCAGAAAGTGAATAGCATTGAGTATTTTAATATATATATATTTGTATATTCACACCTCTTAGAGGTATAACTGAGCATTTCTACTCAATCTGTAGCTTGTATTCACTAACTGGTTCTTTAACAGTGAATAGAGATACTAGAATGAGTCATGTAAGTCTTCAGGTCCCCCAGCATAAATAGATTGATCTTCCCCCTTCAAACTCTCCTTTCTATCCAACATCTTTCCACTTTGCTATCCATCCATTTTCCAGTCTCAAGGGACTCTATTTTAAATATTTGCTTGATGGGCCTCTGCCCTCTTAAGAAACTTTGCTACCCTTTTTCAAGAAGATTCCTTGTCTGTAGGGATTCTACCCTATACGATGAAAGGTGATTATGGCTTCCATGACTGGCCATGGATCCCGCTTTACGGCTTCGATGCCGTTTATCAGCACTAGCCTGGTACTCGGCCATTTTTCTTATCTTGTTTTTGAAAAAAAAAAAACATTTACAATGTAAGAAGTCGCAAGTGCTTCGACCCTTCCCTAGTTGACGATGACCAACCTTTAGTTCTCCCATCAGCAACAGCGACAGCAGCAATGGCGCGTGTAAGTACTACAGCTTCTAGATATCCTTCTTTCTCAATCAAGGTGGCTTGCGAAGCACAGCAACACGCGAGGCGACGAAGCTTGTGAATTCGAACAAGCTTATGCTCATTCATAGAGGGTTTGCATCAGACCAGGCTAACATAAGTTATTATAGAAGCACCACACCTGTTATGTTTGTGGCCAGCGCGGCCACATGGCCTGGCAGTGTGTCCAGGCGGAGGCGGCGGAGCTGGTGATTCGGCGGAGGCTCGCGGTATGTACATCACCCTACCTTATACACGTGGAAACGCTCTTTTCATTAACACCTGATGCTACAGGCGCAGATGCCGTCCTAGCAGCCCCGGGGCCGTGGTGGTGGCCTGGCCTGGCCTAGCAGAACTTTATAAACGCCCTCGTGCGAAACCGGAGGCCATTTGTTGCAACCACCACGGCCCCATTCCTCACTGGTCCCTCTTGCCTCTGACCAGGTAAGCTTGGCGTCTTCTGAAGCACAAATTGAGGAGGATAGATTGACTAACCAAGAATAGCCCGCCGCCTCCGAACCCGCCCAAGCCGCCCAGCAGGTAAGTTATCAATACTCTGGGATATTGTTATGGAGCAAAAAATGATAATGGTTAGCAGCCAGCCACTGGGGCCGCGGCCCAGCAGGTATGTCGTCCAAGTGGAATCTTGCATATTGCAATGTCTAATGATGAACTACAGGGCCAGTGGCTGCCTCCGCCGCCTCCCGCCACCCCGCTGGTAAGTCATTCCAAGTTGAGTCTTGAATATCGCAGAGCAAGTTATGGCTAACAATGAACACCAGCTCCCCTCTGTTCTCGCCCCCGCCAATTGGCCATGTAAGTGATTGATCTTCGAAATTGAACAGTCCGATTATTGAGTATCGTCTAACTGTGAATTTACAGCGGCCAAACGTCGTCCTGCCCAGCCTTGCCGGAAATCCTGTGAGCGATGTGTTTTCAATGGACACACAATCAATGAAGACGAGTATATCTCCCACCACGGGGGGTGGTGGGGGGAGCTCATGGTCAGGGTGAGTTGTCCATGCCCACAGTCCCGAAAGATGAGCAATCACTGATTGATTGTGTCGTAAAAGCCGCCATCCCTGCCATCCATCTACTACCTCTCCCGCCCGTCCTCCGCCGCCTCTATGATCGCGCCGCAGCCCCGGGCTCCGGTCCAGAGTTACCCGCCTAGTTTATAGAATCAGAAGTGAAAAAGGCAAGAGGGCGGTCTTGTTTTCCAAATTTAATCCGAGGATCCTGAGGGAGGGAGAGGCAAAGCTGAAGAGGCCCCCGGAAAGGGAAGATCCTACTTGTTTTTACATATTCTGTCCACACTGGTGTTTCCAGGTCGACTTCGTCTTTTCTACTGCAATTACATTCTCCGTCTTCAAGTATGCCATCAATTTGCGCCGCTTTGAGTTTCGAATCTAATCTTCATATGAGAAATGAACTGTTGTCTCTTCCGCAACGCCATGTACGTATGTAAATCTGTACTCTGCGCACCTAGTCGATGTCAAACCTACAAAATTGCCCCGGACTATTGGTGAGTATGACCTGCTTGATCGGATAAACGCTCCAGACATAGTTCCCGTTATCATGGTAGGCATTCTCGCAATGGATGGACTGGTTGTCGCATTTCCCTTTGGGGTTGACCTCCTGAGTGGTTGGTTCCAGTACTTGACGGTGTCAATTGTGGATTCCGATATCTACCTATTAACCACAGGCCAATTTGTTAACCCAAGTTTGTCAATGTTTTATCCAATCGCTAAATGCAGTAGGCTTTTACCCGTCATACTGCCGCTGAAGCATATGTGCCCGAAAGTCAGGTTGATCGCGGTGAGGATATAGTTAGAGTTAGGAGCGGAGACAAGGGTTTCCAAGAGTCGAGGGGGGAGAGTGCTCTTCCAAAGATGTTGGATGATATGCTTGAAGCAATAACGTGCAGCAACGAGAGTACCTCATGATTATTCTGTCTTTCTGTTAAGATATTGACAGGTTACGATACCAACTGGCATCAGCGTTGGGCAGCGGGGTTTGAGGAGAATAAGAAAGACGGTGGGAAATGAACTAGAAAGCCAGCTCCTTGATTCTCAGATTGAATTTGGCTTGTCACCATAGGCAGTGTTCTATAGTGTTAGTTTTCGTTCCTCTACTCCACTCCAAAGGTTGTATATCTAGTTCTTGCCAGGGTTGTACTTAGGGCTCCGGACCGTCACCTGAGTCAGCATCCGGATCAGCAATCACGGGTTCCGAGTCATGTACTCAAATAAGAAGATTCCCCATCAGAGAGGGATGTCTAGGCAACTTCAAAAATAAATCGTAACACCTGTAATTTGAGACCGATGATCATCAGATGCTGCTGCACATGCACACGCTCAGCGGTGGGTCTACGGACTAACTTCCATCAAGTGGGACTGGATTGTAGATCTTCATAACGGAATGGCCAACCATTGATTGTGGCCAGTTGTTATACGAGGTTTCACTTTGTAGTTTGCCCCGCTTGACTGCTTTAGATTGTTGGTGGCGGTATTTCGAGCAGCGTTTCGGTCGGTGGCCGATTGGTTTGGATTGCTGGTTTGGCTTTGTTTTTGGTACTATGTAGTGTCTTCCGGTCCGAAGGAAATCATGTGCAATTAATACCTTTGTTATTTCATTATCTCACTCGAAGCAGGGGAGGACGATCCGCTGAGGCATAAACAGTAGCTACATGTTGAGGCTAAGATTCGAACATATATCATCGTCTGAAGATCTCCATACATTAAATAGTAGTAGCAAAGGAAAGGAGGGATTGAAATGAGAGATAGTAGGACGATCATCTGCTAAATCGATTTGGCTTCCGTAAAGCTTCCTCTGGCTCTGCTGCTTCGTGCGTGATCTCAATAGTCGTTTCCTGATATACTCCGTGGGCCATATTGCCGAGCTCCATGTCGCCTTTCGGCACAATATCGTCTGTCGAGTCGCCTCGGTCATCGAGCACCGTATCGTTGATACTTTGCAGCCCACGGCGGAGGCGCGACTTGACCCGAGACTTCTTGTTCTCGGGGCCCACAACAGTGGTGCTGACGTGCGTGTTGTACAGATTTAAGCTGGTGTAAGTATAGTAACGGTCTGACGTGCTGACGTCAGTGTCCATTAGTAGATGCCGGCGGGTCACTATGTACATAACGACATCCATAAGTCCAGACAGAGCCATGAGGGCACTGGTGGTAGTAAAGTATGCCTTGCTGGGAACGACACCTCTGGCTGAAGACATCCGCCCCGCGGCCAGAGGAAGGGAGAGGAGGACATAGACCAGAGGATAGATAACCATGTACATGACGACTCAGTTCAATTGGTTAAGACTTTCCTGGTGGTTTTGTTAAAGGGCCGCTGCTCGTTTCATCTGACGCCGGAGGTAGAAAAACATGATGCTGTATAAAATGATGGTGCTAAATTCGGAAAGGAAAATCCATAAATAGTGTCCCTAGAGCCGCTCAGCTGTTGCTTGTGGACTAAGCCAGCACTATATAGAGTCAGTACGTCCAATCTTTATTCATCGTTCAAGGTAGGCTCTGAGGAACTCACCCAGCCAGCTTCTGGAATTACAAAGGTCCTCGAGCCATACAATCCGACGGCAATCAATCCGAGCAGAATGATAAAAGCCCAGAGTGTAATGACACAGCAGACAAATGTCCTAAAGGGCAATTGCCGCCCACGTAGCACAACTGAACAAGTATGTATCGCAATGGCCAATATAAATAAACCACTTCCTGGATCTGCAGTCTAGATCCACCACCCGTGGAGAACGCATGCCGCACTTGGGTAATTTACACCGCCATGGGCGACCCAATGCAGGCAGATCAAGAACGCCGTTGCTTGTTGGATGTTGACGAGAAGGAGGTTATAGATGAGCATGATATATTGATTCTGCGCGAGAGGACGTTTGTAGTAATGCTGCCAGAAAATGAATCGGTATGTTAGGAAGGAAATGAGTGAGAATGTAGCGATCCATGAGCAGAGAGCGACTGCTCTTATTGTAATGAAGCCCGCACGAAGGCTCCCCGTCAGAGGCTCATCGGCGAACATTGGCACATGAATTTCATGAGAATGAGCAGTAAGGTATGATTTGTCGCCATTTTCGCTTTGCAAAAGTAGCAGCGTTCAAACCAAGCTAGTCATCCTCGTTTATCATCGCAGTTAAGGGCTGGTTGGGGATGCGGTCGTTGAGAAAGATACCAGACTAATAGAGTTGGTGAGGAGGTTCCTAATTCCTAGCATGATAGGTACTCATGGCTCTAATATGGAATCTGTCTGACCAAGGTTAAGGTGAAAGCTTTTATTACCTTGGCTTATGCCCAGATAGTTAGACATATGGGTCAAGAACTTGGGAGAACCATGGTCTTGACCTTTTCCTAAGTTCTTGACTTTTCGTGCTCCCTAACTCCATCCAATTCGCTAGTCAAGCGAGAAGTGATGCTTTATAGGATAGTCTAGCCTTGCCTATGGTCTAAAAGTATCTTTCTAGGGCCACATGGCAGGGAATAGTTCCCTAGCCGTCTAGGATTCAGGACAATACGAGATCCGCAAGAGGGGCAATATGGTTCTGTTGATCTCCACAGACGATCCACCAAACAGCGGTCTCGAACCGACAACATTCCAGATACAGTAAATATTAGGTGGTGCTATCCAGTATGAAGCCGTGTCATTTGCTGAGCTGTCTGGGCCTAAAACCACGTGGAGTTAGGCTGGGGGTCAAAGCACACCTGCGTCTAGGGTATATTGAGTGTAAAGGATCTGTGAGCATGATGACTTTCTTGGTCTGGACCCAGCGCAGTGGTAGTCTCGTTGATCTGTAAAATTGTCCGTGGCTCTGTATGGTTCCTATGGTGCCAGTAGTAACATCAAAATCTCCGCGGTTGATCACGAGCAAAAGCCGAGACGGGAGATGGTACCTAGGTAGTGCATATGCACGTTTTTCTAGCGAATCGGGTTGAGAATTGGAACCGGCAGTCTGGAAGATCATATCGATCTGCATTACTATTGAACTGCAGAGATGATCTCTCGACTCTTGTTCAACGTTCCCTGAGAAGAAGACAGGGACGTTCAAAGTCTGCCTTCAGAGATCCTAAGGTCTCAAGGTTCGACGAGACCACACTACTAGCAAGGTGCTGGCAATGTGGAGTAATAGGTTGCCACTCCTTTCAAAACAGCTGTGCTTCAGCCAATTTTGGCGTTGCACAGGCTAATGAAGGCGAAGGCTCCTTCAATTTCCACCTTCAATTTCCACCATCACGCAAGCGCGCTTTTAGAAGCTGTTCTTCAAGAGAACGGAGACACCACCGGCAATAGAACTGGCAAGGCTAGGACATTCAATGAAGTTGCACTTGAGAAACCCAGTGGTCGGATTCTGGCATGGAGCCGCAGGACAGAGACGTAACTCATGAACAGAGACGAGGCAGGCGGTTCCACTTCCTTCATCGGGATAATGTAATGGAGATACCGATAGGGTAGATTAGGACAACTAACGAATCCCCATCGCGCTATTACGCACGTCATTCCTGAATTGCCTCGCCCTCCGAAATCGAACCGTAATCTGTGGAAGATCGACCCCGCGTAAATGCACCAGTGCTGAAATGGAACTTACTCCGAAGCTCCAAAGCTTGTGGCTTAGGCTCCCTCGAAAGCTTGAACCTGTCTGTATGCCAATCCCCTCCCCTTAATTTGCGTCAGGAGAGCATGCACGTAACAGCACGTTTACCATGGGGAAACAGCCAAATACCGACAAATGGCCGCATTTAAGGTAAGCGTCGCGGAGATTCCCAGATCCGTCGATCTCATCTGGACGAGAAAACCTCACGAACAGTGGCGTGGGCCGCGTGGCGCACTGGCTCAGTTGTGGCGGCTTGTAGGCTGGTGCTAGCGTCTAGCACAAAAGACATGTTTGTTTAGGGTTTACCCGTTGAGATTTTCGGATGATGACCGACCTCGGTCCAGGGAAACGTCTCGAATGGATATCCCTTGATCCGGTCGGTAGATGCCGTTTCCGCAATATTAAGAGTAACCAAACTGTTTATATCGACTTCAGTTGAGGTAACCACTCAAATACTTGTCATATATCTGACGCACTCACACAATAGCCATAACAAATTACCTTTTGAGAATGTGTTTATTTTGGAATGCTTCGGATGGTTCCCTCCCATTCGGAAGCGAGCGACCGGATATTACCGAGTGATGAACCAATCTGACAGCTTCTCTATTGCCCCATGCGTGGTCCAAAGATGATTGAGATCTTGATAGCTATTATCGATAATGAAATATGGCTTCAGTGGAGATCTGCCGATGCTCTACTCGCCTTAGAATTCAGAAGCTCAATGCCAAGGGCTGTCCTTGCATCGGGTGGCACATGTCTTGGGTCGGAATGTATATTTAGCAACAAGCATACCGGGCACACGTGAGACGATTTCCTGTTTTGTCACTTAGCCACATCGAATGCTTATGGTCTGGCAACTGGCGAAAGGTGCGGAATGCTCAGCCTTACCTTAGGTTCGGACCTTCGATCCAATCGATCAATGTGGCGTCTGACGGACTGGAGGCCTTATCAAGCGGTCAGTTCGTAGGCGTACAACAGGCCATAATAGGCATGGTTATTATTGCTTGGCGATAATGCTCAATCTAACGCGTCTCGTTTATTGGGACCATTATTCGTTCAGCGGAGTGGTGTCACCAACTCAGTGCATTTTCCCGCAGTTGTGTACTTGCGAAGTATCACAAAAATATCTCAAAGGATCGACGGTGTCACCCGAGGCGGGTGGAAGTTGCTGGAAGCGTGTGAAGCTGTATGTCTCATCGCCGGGTGGACTCAACATCATCAGATGACCGAGCGTTACTCGAACGGGTGTCAGTCGCAGAGTCTTGGATCCCCGCATTTGGCACTCCACCATCATCTGTAGTATTACTGTTGTGTCATGGCAACGATTCTGCACCATGTCGATCTTAGTTGCTTACTACTTTCCACGGCCAGCTGAGGGGGTGTCTCACTCATGTCGATATGCGATTGATCCGGTTTCTGAGGATGGGGACTTGGGCCTACCCTTGGGTTGCGATGGATTCTTCCGGTGTCTCTCCTCGTCGGCATGGCAAGACGCCTGATCGGGGTCGCCAGTATTCGATATATCATTGCTAATAATAGACAGAAGAGCAGGACATATTCAGCAAGAGAAGTAGTATATAAAGCCTCACGGTCCCAACCACCACAGCCAGGAAGATAGCAACACCAAAGCATCCAACCACCCAAACTCAAGCTTCTCTATCAACACAATTACTCACAAAGCCACTCGTCCTCTCAAGATGAAATTCACTACACCCATCTCTCTCCTCTCCCTCTTCCTCTCCTCCACTCTGGCGGTCCCGACCCCAGAGACAAACGCCGCAGCTGAGACCTCCGTCTCCGTCTCCTACGACCAGACCTACGACGTGGCCGGTACCTCCATGTCCACCGTCTCCTGCTCCGACGGTATCTACGGCCTCATGACCAAGTGGCCTACATTCGGCAGCGTCCCGGGCTTCCCTCGCATCGGCGGCGCCCCCACAATCCCGGGCTGGAACAGCCCCAACTGCGGCAAATGCTACAAGCTGCATTATGCCGCGGGCAATATCGATAACACCATCTACATTACGGCGATTGATGCCGCACCTGGCGGTTTCAACATTGGTCTGAACGCGATGAACCAGTTGACGAATGGATTGGCGACGCAGTTGGGTAGGGTGGAGGCAACGTATGAGGAGGCAGATGCATCCCTCTGTGCATAGATGGCTCTTGGGGTGCAGGAAGGACAGAGACAGATCAAGTGGGTTTTCACCAGTGCATGTGCATAATGGCTTGGCTTTCAAGGCATCTTTCCATCCTTAGACTTGTTGATTTACGTTTATATACAATCCTTTAATGTCATCAGAGTGAAGTTTCATACAATCTATATATATGTACATTCTATCACATTAGTCATCAAGATATAACCTCCAACATCTCTTCCACTCGCCCAAACTTATCTCGAACCTTTCCCTTCTGCTGTCCCCGCTCCTGCTCTGCCTTGTCGATGCGTTCCCAGTCCTGCCAGGTTGTTGGCCGTAGACCGCGCTTCTCCGCTTCGGGCCGTACACCGTCCCAGCCAAGACCGGTGCTATTGGCCGGCCCATTCAGCAATGATCCCTTGCCTGCTTGACTCGCCTTGTCCGTAGCCAGAGTGTCAGCGGTGGTAAATGCATCGGTCATGGTTGTGGCGATGACACCAGTTGGGCCACGCTTCACCCAACCCGCACAGTAGAGCCCAGGCAGATGCGAGATCAGCGAACCATCGGGTAGTCGCTCATTACCACCTGTAGTGGTCGAGACGGTAATTCTACCGAAGCCGTCATTGGGGATCACACCGCGATCAGAGTCGAACTGGATGCCTAGATCCTCCAACCCTGGTAGAGGGAGGGATTTGTACCCGACACTGCGAAAGAAAGTGTTGGCGGGTATGTCGACTTGCGCCCGCTTCCCGCTTGAGAGGTACTTTGGTGTAACCTTGGCGCTAGGTGTGTGAGGATCGCTCGGATCCAGTTCATTGCGGGAGAACCTGACGGACGAGAGGCGGTAAGGATGGAGAGGAGACCAATTCAGGCATTCCGGAGAAAGAAGGAAATCTAAGGACCATGACTTGGTCGCTGTAGCGGCATCATTGGCCGAACCCTTTGCCAACAGCTGCATTAATCTTTTTTGTGCTCGGGGAAGCGTAGATATGACGTCGTCTGGTGGAAAGAGGTCTTGAGGAATTGGATCAAACGACACAGAAGGCAGCTGTAGAAGCTCCCTGACCTCTTTGATCGTAAAAGCGGCCTAAGGGCAAATTAGCATTGCATGCCGCAGAGGAACTGGTCAAACGTACTTGCAACGGCCCGCGACGGCCTACAACCCGAACACGCTTGATCTTGCTCCTGACCAACTCCTCCACCGCGTACTCTGCAATATCTGTCCTTCGTAGAGTATTGATATCCGATAACAGTATCCTTGCGACATCTAAGGCAACGTTTCCCTGGCCAACAATCACAGCATCCTCACCGGCCGTAAGATCTGGTGCCAGATCACGGTGCTCTGGGAGGCCATTGTACCACCCCACAAACTCTCGCGCCGAGTACACGTTCCGAAGTGCATCCTCACCAGGTATGCCTAGTTTCTTATCTTTTGGCGCACCGTATGCGAATAGGATGGCGTCGTAATGTGGTTTCAGCGCTCGGAGAGGGAGATTGGTGCCGAGTTCGATGTTGCCGATAAAGTTGAATCTCGGAGACGCTGCGACTTCGGTAAATTTTTCCTCGCAGTTCTGATTGACAAAAAGGAATCAACATGGTGGCCACAGACGTGCGTAGAGCATTATGCGTACCTTGACTTCAGGGTGGTCAGGCGCAACTCCGTATCGTGCCAGGCCAAAGGGGACCGGCAATTTCTCATACATATCCACCACGGCATCCTCAACTTTCGATAGAAGTCTATAGGCTGCATAGAATCCGGCCGGTCCTGACCCTACAATGGCAACGCGAAACGGGCGATCGGCCGCTATCGTCTGGCTCTGGTGACGGCGCTGGATTGTCAATTGCGCCAGTCGCTGACCTTGTGGGCGGTATAGCGACGTGTAACTAATTTTTGCACTGCATTGGGCGCAAAAATAAGGAGCGCGTTTAAGATTCATCGTTATTCGATAGGGATATCCATTGGAAAGTAGCACTCTTAAAATAGACATTAGAAAACTAGTCGTCCAGCTATGACTCCATTTCGTTCCGAGGCCCGCACGTGACCCTTATCAGTCGGTTGCCGCGCCGACTATCGCGAGTGTTGATGCTGCACCCGATTGGGAGCTGCCTTGAATGGGGCCAGATCTGTGATGACGATTATCACCTAGGGAGTATCTTCATAGACTCCTTTTGATCTCGTGCATTCTTCCCGTTCCATGGTTCCGCGTGTGCTTCTCAAACCACATCCCCATCGTACCTTGCATACTCATTTTGGTTGATTTCACCCAGCATTCCTTTCTGTCTGGGTCATTCAACGCCCACATTCCACTCCTCGCGTGGATGCGCCGATAAGCATCATCCACTGCGGCCATGGGGAGATCATTGCCTCCGTTCATTTACGGTCCTCCCTCCTCGCATAGCTTCCATGGACCGACGGATCGTCCATTCAATCCAAAGGCCGTGACGCAGGCGAGCTGGACTCGTCCGCAGCCAAAACCTAAGCAGAAAGGACCTTATGTTAGCTTCAACAGACATCCTGACTCGGTAAGTTAATTCTTGAACAGCTCTTGCCTGGTTGGCGCACAATTGCTGATCGATGCTCGATCAATAGTATTCGAACTTTCCTGATGGAGTGTCCCGCTGGACTCCCATGAGCCCCAGCACAAAGGGGAGGGTATTCTATGGTCGAAGGGTACAGCTTGGTTTGCGTGTGCTGGCATTACTCGGCGCTCTAGGCTCGCTCTTTTGTGCCATTGTCATCAAGAATGTTGCTGTCTCGATCATTTGGATCATACGAGTCGGGGTGAGTCCACAAATACGATTCTTTGCGGAATCTAGCTAATGTCTGTGCAGCCTATCGTTGCCGTTCTTCATACCCTCTATGGAATCTACCACCTATGTCGCTCGCCAGTTACCAGACCTGCTGGATCACAGGCCAGTTACATGGTCTTTGCGGCAACGCTTGACCTTGGCTTGGTTCCATACTATGTCTTCTCCGCATACATCGCATACAAGCAGATCACCAACAATGCCTACCACTGGAGCACTCTGCTGAGCGCCGACACTAGTATCACGGACAAGATCGCTCATTCCACTTTCATCCTTAGCATTGCCAACGGAAGCTTTCATTTGATCTCTCTGTGCATTTCTGTCTGGTTGGCTTTAATATTCCGGCAGATCTCCCAGCTGCCTCCGGATCTCAATCCTCTCGAAGACAATCTGACTGCTCGTCCTCATAAACGCAACAAGTCGGAAATCAACGAAAAGCATCTCAGCCAGTCTACTGTTGCATCTGCAACGTCTATGGAAGAGCCCCTTATTGGCCCTGCTCGGCATGTGCCATTCATGCACACCCGCAACCAGTCCTCAGAAGATGGCTCGAGTCGGTTTTCCGTTATCAACGAGAAGAGGCGATCACAGCAATCGATGTACACCGATACGGTTGTCCCACCCGTCCCACCTGTCCCTCAGCACTCCTTCCTGGCCCAGAGGGACCAGCAAGCGTCGGTACAATCACCCTTGGCAGATTCTCACAGCGACCATGCTCAGCAAGTTCCTCGTGACCTTCCTGACAGAACTCAATGCGTGAGCCCAGACTCGGACAACTGGATCGTCTACCCGTCCCGGTCACCCTCTCCCGCAGAGGCTGGTTTGAATGAGAACCTAGCCCGTCGAGAACCCTCGTCTGCCTACAGTCAAGCAGAGAGCCTTATCTCTACAGGTAGCAGCTTCAAGGACTGGCTTACTTCCGCCCAGCGCTACGAACTGCACGTTAACGAGGCAATCTCGGAGGACGTTCGCGGCGAGTACGAGTCACTCGCTTTGCACGAACACTATGCGAATGACGAGGACATTCACGATATCCCTCAGGTGACACGATTTTACGACAACGCCGAGCAAGACATTGGCGACCACAACATCAATATCTTCCTGGATCATAACGACCGCGAGCGACAATTTTCGGCCTCCCTCCAGGTCAACCCTCTAGCCCTTAACCCTCCCACCCCACAGCCGGTCCAGGAGGAGACCAACAATGCATCCCATCCCCCGACCCGTGCCCCTCTCACTAATATCCCGAACCTCGCTCCTAACCCTCCCGCTTCCCCTCCCTCCCCGGACAGCCCCGAGAAGAAAGGCCGCTTCTACGGAGAACTCAACAATAAGCATTATGTCCCCCGCAGCCCAAGCGATCAGAACGATTCCGACTCGCAAAACAATCTGCACCGGAAGACGAGCAAGCTCGTCAAACGCAACAGCCAGAAACTAAACACGTACGGTTCGCTCAAGCAGCATGACGCCGACGATCTGGACGACGAAAATGAGATTCCTCCTGTCCCAGCCGATCCCGCCGTTGCAGACGGTGATCGCAAGGGTCGTGTTGTCAGTAACTCCGGAGCTGACATCGGTCGGCATGATTTTGGATCAGGCTCCTCCTTGGCGTATGGTAATTACATCGCCAATTTGGGTGTGGGACGACGACGCGATGTGAGTGGAAAGATCGCCGAGGAAGGTAGAGGTGGTGTGGTCACAGAGAGTCCGAAGCCGATTAGAGCTGCTGGATGGGCTCGCTTCGCTGGACTCTAGACCGGCAACTTGGAATTCATGGTAATATTTGGATGATCAGCTTTGTTGACGATGGAATGGAATTGTAACGAGTTTTACGCGACGGATCGTCTTCATGTTTGATAATACATTTTCTTGCATAAAGGTGTCTTAGGTAGTTAGTAGCTTCCTCAAATGCAATAAATATTGTTTTGCAGCCATTAGAGAGATTATATGGGCGTTTTATATCGAAGTATATGTGAGAAAGGACCGAGCTACGAAGGAACACCTTCGTACTCCCACCCTTGAATGACCCTTTTGCCTCTCCTCGAATTTCTCCGATTCGCGTTACATTTAACAAATAACGTGAGCGCAGTGATGATGCAGATTACAATTCCGGCAATGGCAGCGACCAACACCGTGCGCCGTTCTAGCTGGTGTGGATCGGTTACGTATGGGCAGGGAGTATCAGGACCCCCTGTGACCCAGCAAGACGCAACGTCCAGAGAGTTGAAATCAAGCCAGACCTCGTACTTTGCGGGGTCCGTCGTTGTAGCGTCAAAGGTGCCCTTGGATCCATCGAGCAGGTAATGGTATAGGTAGGTGTTCTCAAGGCCCGTCCGGGGTATCGAGAACGATGTATTCTCCGGGCAAGCGTGGTTGTACGCGTCTGAGTATGTATATGCTTGCGGTGACAGGGACCAGGTGAAGGGATGGTTTCCCACACGACAGGCGGCGTGGCGCTCTTCGCTGCAGTTAGTGGAGCGCCAATGGCCTCCCAGTGTGAGATCTATTACTGCGCACCGCTCGATGTGCGGCGAGTCCTCGTTCATGCCAGGAGGTGAGGGGTCTAGAGGTTCACCAATAGCCCAGGCCCATGAGGCAGACATGGAGATGTTTTGGTACGTTTTTGCATCTAAATCGGCGGTCTTGGTGAACAAAGTGCCGTTGAGCACCGGGGATAAGCCGCATACGGTGAGATTGACGGTCAGATCGGATATTTCTCTTAGAGTCTTGGTTTCGATTGAGCCGTTTATGATGGGTATGCTGCTCGATACAGCCCACGACGAGTTGACTTGCGACACCGAGGTAGCCCCCGGATTATAGAGACAGCCAGAAGTCAAGCTACCATCATCAGTCGCTGCGCTCGATACGGCAGTTGTCAAATAATGAGGAGGAAATATGACGTCGTTGTCTGCATTCAAGTCATAGCTCCCCAGCTGCGGGTCCACGGAGCCATATTCCAGAAACAGTCGTCGCTCTTGCGCAAGTTGCACATATTTCGAAGATGGCCAGCCATCCGGCGTACTTTGCTTTCCATCCGCTTCTTCGTGAAGGGTGAAATACTCAGTGATAGGTGCGTATCCATCGTCAACTGCATACCATGATTGGTTGAGGTTCCTGCGCTCCTCGGCTAGCTGGGACGGCCTGTAGATGTACGCAGAAAGACGCTCATCAAACGAAGCACTCACGTATTCTGACGGTAACGGCAGCTGTTCGTTGGTCACGGATGCAGCTGGCTGATCTAAAGATGCAGCACTTGATGCCACATGAAGATTTAGGGTGATGAATGTCGTATACACATTCCATTGAGAATTGGTAAGCCGGAAATTGTCCGCGAAGATATCAACTAGCCCAGAAAGGTCGAGATTATCGGAGCAAAGATGGGGACCGAGCTCGTAGAGTAGCGAGCCTGACGAATCGGCAACTGCTGTGACGGTGCCTGTGACTGCACTGGCCGTGGCTGTGGGAGATGGCGTCGTCGAGACAGTGACGACTTGAGCGTTCTGGGGTCTTGCCACTGGACAGAAGGTCCAATTTCGCTGCTCCACCGACCAGTATATATCAACCAGGAAACGACGGTAGCCGATAGCGAGCAAGTTCGAAATGCATTTCTGAGCAGCGTCGTCGTCGTAGACGCTTTTACCGAAGCATGCTGCAGTCAGCGAAACAGCCGGCACGGTAACGAAGTTGATAGGAATTTGGCCGGCAACATCTCTTTCACTCTAATGAAACCATCGTCAGTCATATTTCATGCAGTGTCAGTTCGCGAGATGGACGCACGAGCAGTACCGCCACCCATGTAGAGTCTACAAGGGAAGCATCAGGATCATAACTCAAGCCCATGGAGCTGCATACAATGCGCAGCGCGAATCTAAGCTAGGAGATACAACTCATTTCAGGTTGGATTCGCGATTGCACGGAGCAATTCGAGTGATGAAATAGTTAGTCGAGGCTCGAACTGCGGAGACGCGGGTGGTGCGATTAGTGAATGACGATCGACCCTTTTCCTCTTTGGGCAGGCCAACACCAGCTATCTGGCCACTTTGTGATCATCACTCCCCTTGTAATTTTCCGACTTCTTTCATCTTTCAGCCAAACACTTTGATACACTTACCCCTTCCAGCTTCATACTCATTCTCCAGCCTTCATGTACCAGTCTTTCCTCTCTTAATTGATTAATTAACGCAAATCATCTAAATTCCCTTTCAACATGGCGGCTCCAGGTGGGCCTAGCCCGCAGCAGATTGCTGCCATGCAGCAGCAGTTCGCCGCGGAAGCAGCGAGACGAGGAATGACCCCCGAGGAATTCGCAAGACAGCAGCGCGAACAACTGAATGCAGATGCCGCGAAGCAGGGCATGACGACCGAACAATACGTTCAGCAGTTGAGGATGCGAGCCATGGCCGCGCACCAGCAGCAGATGGCCCAGCAACAGGCTCAAGCAGCGCAGCAGCAGGGACAAGCGGGCCCGCAGCAGCAGCAACAGCAACAACAGGGGCAGCCTGGACAGCCCGCTCCGCCTCAGCAACAGATGCAGCAAGTTCCCGTGAACCCTTCGAATCCTCCCGACCCTAAAGCGATCGCGGTCGCCAAGTTCCTACGCTCCCAGAACCTCAAGTCTCGCACGTGTATCCTGGACGGACAAAGAAAGGACATGTTCAAGGGTATTTACTCTCATACTCCTCCAGATCTCCGACTCAGTACTGACGAGTAGCATAGTCAAACGCGCCATCCGCGCCCTCGAATCCCCCGCCTACGCCAAAGCCGCCGCCAAAAAGAACTCCCTCCTCCCTCCCGTCACCGACCGCGCCTCCGCCGAAAACGTCTTCAAAATCCTCCCTCTCTCCCTTCTCGCCCTGCGCGTCTCCAAAATCGACCCGCACGCCGGCCACAACCACGCCAAACCAAAGACCCGCGTCAAGGGCCTCTGGACCGTCAAGATCGAGCATCACCAGGAGACAGACCCCATGATGCACTACGTCTGGCTCTACGAGGGACCCCAGTGGAAACAGAAGGCCATGGCAGCCGCCGTTGTGGCAGGTATCTTTGCCGTTGTCCTCTTCCCGCTATGGCCCATCATGCTCCGCCAGGGCGTCTGGTACCTCAGCGTCGGGATGATGGGTCTGCTGGGTCTCTTCTTCGCCATGTCCATCTTCCGTCTGATTCTGTTCTGCGTGACTGTCTTCGTCGTCCCTCCTGGCCTCTGGTTGTTCCCTAATCTCTTCGAGGACGTCGGGTTCATTGATAGCTTTAAACCATTGTGGGGTTGGCAAGAGGTATTTCTTTTTCTTTCTCCCCACAATCTCCCCTTTCGATTGATGTACTGACTGTACCATAGAGCAAGAAGAAGAAGAAAAAGTCCAAGAAGGCCGTCGCTGGCGCTGAGACAGCAGAGCCACAAACTGGATCCGGCAAGGGAGATGACTCTACCCCTTCCGCGACTACGACAGCAACACCTGCCCCAGATACCTCCGGCGCCGTGAAGCGCGATTTAGCGCCCAAGGTGGAAGAAGCCACCGAGGAGTAAAATGGCATAGATGGGTTGCACTCGGGCATGATCTTAAGATGCATCGTATCAACGGGTTGCTTTGCCTTTTGAGTCATTGTGGTTGTTCCGGGTTATGTTCTGGACCTCGGGCTACTGGTTCATCGGACGAATAGCCCCGTACGACTATATTTCTTAAATGATATATGTTCACTTCGGGTTGGAGTAAGGTTTCACTTATTTGAATTGATCAAAATCCATATGGACCATAGAGAATTCTGTATTCCGGTATCATAATTCTTGATCGCGAGAATGCACTGCCCAGTTCTGATGCCGAATCTTGGGATTTCGCCGTGTTGACTCGTCTAGGTTGAAATATTTGACATGAAAGAAGAAGATAGTCTCCACTAGATTCGACGGTCGGGCATGAAAACGCAAGATAGACCAACATCAAGAACCAGTAAATAGGGGAGTAACGAAAGGGAAGAAGAGAAATAGTGAATATGGTAACGACGTACGGCGTGGATATCTTCAATTGTGGCTGTAGAAAAGGCCAAGAAGACAGGGTAAATGCAATGACAAAGTAACAAAGGTGTCTGGTATCAGTGGTATATATAAGAAAGCGAGTCGCTGAGGTATCGCAAATGCAATAAAACTTCAGGCGTGAAGACGGAATGTCCTCAGTAATGAGGGGAATATAAAAGAACTTTTCCAAAATGCGCAAAGCTATGTTTTCGGGGCCGAGAAGATGTACAGGCGTCTCTAAAAAAATCTACCGACGCCTAGAGATGCAGAATGAGCCATGGGTAGAGAGTAGAGCAAATCGATGTGAGATGGTATCGCTTATAATCCCGAAGATACCTGGGTATCTATACTTGGAGCAGCAGGAAGACTGGTATGGGACGTGGGAGGGTTGATGCTGGCAAAGCTTCTTTGGCGGTCTCGTAACGTCCTCGAAGGCGGCAATTGGGAGGAACGAGCTGTAAAGGAAGCGCTTGGTAGTAGAACAGGCCTATGTGGATCGATTGGAGATGGGATTTTTGGTAATGGGCAATTGGGGGGAGGTGCCGCTGGGCGTCCAACAGACAGTCCCGGCATGCTCTTGCGCCGAGCCATGCTGGGAGGACGACCGCCGGGGTCTGTGGGATACACTCTATCCCGTTGGAGCTCAAGACAGGCCTGATTTCCGGAATTTGTGGTTGGTCGTGTGGGTTGCGGGTCAGATGGAAGACTGGTTAACGGGTCAATGGCTATGCTCGGAGGACGGAAGTGC